AATATTTTATGCACTCTCATGCTTTAAACATTTGCTTTCCAAATCAAAAATAAGTTCCTTTTCATTGAAGGTGTCTGAAAAGATTTATTCCTCATGCGCAGTTAAGCTAGTTCACATAATTGTATTCTTTAAAAAAAGTGATATTGTAGAGTAAGGAAAAAGGAAATATTATGCTATTAGAAATAAATTGTAATACTATAATTTAACTTTCGTGTTGAATATGAGATGGTTTTATGAATTTACTGTGAATTCTTCGGAAGGTCACAAGTTTGTGAAATCATTCTTGTCTAAATACTGTAAACATGCAGGGATAACGGGAAGAAATGATGTTAATTTCTGTCAGTTCCAGTGGGACTTTTATATCCATCCTTCTTCTCTATTACGACTTATTTGTAAGACGGAACATATAAAAGTTCCTTGTTTAATCAAATAAAGTCTTAACACCTGTAAGTTACCTGGATAATTCTATAGTCAAGGTGTATTGAAACATACCGTTAGATTAATATTCTTTTATCATATTTTCCTCATTATTTTTGTCTAAAATCTCATGTTTACCACAGATTCAGTAACTTTATTTTGGCATTAAAAGAAAATGTGTTACATAGATGTTACATAAACTTGATTAATGGTAAAAGTTAAGGTCACAGTCACCTGCTTGGAACTTTAATGTAAACAAATTTCTAATGAACTGCACAAGACTAGATTTTAGAATTTGCATAAAGGCCGATGATGAAGCGTGGTGTAATTATGCGTCATTATGAGATTGACATCATTAGAGAAATTCCACCAAATGAAGTGAAAAACTCATGGAGTGTCAATCATCCATCATGTAGGCCAATGATGAATGTGAAGTTGGATATGATCGGACAAATATAAAATGATGAATCTGAGAGCAAAGTTCTGCTATATTGGAATGACATATTACAAGGGGGGCATATTTGAGCAATGAGACACTGCATGTTAAGATGTCGTTCAAAATTAACAGCATGCAGTAAAGAATTTAAAGTTCACAAATTGTTACTAACAGGAAAAGTTTTTCAGAATTTCAAAACATTTTAGAATTTTGATGAGGTGTTGTTATTCCATATTTCTGAGACAATCCTGTTTAAGTTCTGTCAAGTGTGGTCGACCACAATAAAAAAAAGACACTTGGCATGATCGTAAAATGTAAAGCTCTCAAAAATAAAAGATATCCAAACTCTGAAAAGATAGAAATTTCCTGTGTCCTACAGAGAGACTCAAATAAATTCAATGCCAAACAAGGAATTAAGTCTCCCCACGAGGAAATATTTCTATCAGAGTTTTGAAATGAGTGGAACTAAATTCACAGAACAGGCCTCACTGCCATTCTAGTGCCAGTAATTTTTTTTCTCAGACTCCTTTGGTATGTATGTATATAGCAGAGATATAGAGTTGTGGAAAGTTTAAGATTATAGACAATTTTTTTTTTATATTGGCAGAGATTTCAATCAAATCTTCAGAATTTTTTTCTTGGATTCCATTTAAAACAGAGAAATCCTGTATGACCTTTTTGCACTGTGCCCTATGTATAGGGAAATTTTCTATGTATTTCGATGTACTGCAGATGATAATATATCGCTTGTATATCAAAATATAACATTTTATTAATTTCCATATTATTTACTTCATTTTTTGTAAGAACAAGGAAATGTTCCTTCTAAGAATTAAAACTGTAAGGAGATTTAAATACTAAGGCATTTATCGTAATGGTCTTATCATGTTGTGTAAAACTATGAAGGCAAGTATTTATTTTCTTAAGGGATGGGAGAGCATTGTAAAGTTCCCCAAAACAGTCATTAATGTGAATCATTATTTTAAGAAGCCAATTTGATTTTTTTTTGTAATTCCTAAACAATGTCAAAAGTTGACAATGTTGGAAGGGTGGTGTTATAAATGGTGTCGGCTGGAACCCTTATATAGGTGATGGAGCTGTCTTGTCATTACAGTAGCAGGCACACAAAATACTGCAGCTCTATTCACATCAAACATAGGTAAAAAATGTCAACTGCCAAAAGCATAGGAGGCGACCAAACTTTAGACCAGCATGATAAAAGTGGGCCCTTGGGGAGAATTCTTCTCTGGGCAGCAGAATCGTGCTCTCTCAATTGTCATGTGTCGGGCTGTCTTGTATAGGCTCCATGATTAATTCCTATCAAGGAAAGGTAGGGTCTCTCACACCCCTCATAGTTCAAGGGGTGGCATTTGTATTCTTAACTTCAAAGATGTCAAAGGGCTTTTTGATGCTCAATCAAAGCAATTTCTACTATTGCTGCATAACTTTGTATTAAAGTTCTGTTTAAGCAGTCAGACCTTATATCCAGGTAATCCAAGTATCACTTCGTCATCATAGAGAGGTCAACATCTCATGAGAAAAAAAAACTCTCAGGTGTTAAGATAAGTTTTCAGGAGTAATTTCCCTTTTTTTCAGCTTTATTGACCACTTTTGGGTGTGTACTAGAGGTCTATTAGGCTGTTTACCTGAATATAAATAAACAATATATATGCAGAATATTCAGTTTCGACTGTTCAGGTATTTCTAACCAGGGGAGAAAGTTGTTAACAGTTTAGGCATCAGATACATTAAAAGCTCCACTCCGTGGCCCCAGGCCGTACAATCAATCCAATAGGTTAGGCACCAATTAGTCTTTGATGGTCACAGAAACTTTTACCTGAGTCTTCTAGGAATTAGCTGCGAGGCACATCATGTAATTTGGCATTAGTTTTGAGGGTGAATGCTTTGCCTGTTAGAGATGACACAGGAACTGAGGTAATCAATTTCTATGGCCTCACCTGAGTCGAGTGACAGAGTCAGTTCGTGGAGTGACAGAGAGAGAGAGCCGCGATTGTTTCAGCTTCTCTGTGCCAAACCACCACGCAGTCAATTCTGTGTACCTACAAACCCGCCCTATCTATATTAACTAGTGGATATTTCAGCATTATATAACTTGGACTTTTTTTTACACAACTAGTGGTTAAAATGGTTAGTACTTTCATTTTTTTCAATCACATTTTTTTTTGTTCTTCTTTAAAGGGATGTTATATTTTTGGATTTTAATTTTGATTTTGACCTGTTAGAAAATTTTCTTCATATATAAGTTTGTATTGAGATACAGATTCTAGTTGGGTTAAAACTTAATTTGGATATATCTATCCTGTTTTTCAAGTGTTATTTTCACCTGAGTTGTTTTTCAAAGTAAAGTAAAAAGTTTTCACAAATAAACATAAGGCATCCCAAGAAATAACATTTCTCTGAGAATTCCATGTCTTAGTTTTCAAGTCAAGTTTCAGTTCAACATGAATGCTCCACTACCTCTCAAAAGAATTATATCCCAAGAGCTGCCTTTCAGGTGTGGTGTACACTTCATATATATACGTACATATAAAAAAAAAACACTCTTCATTTTATTAAAGTTTGACACATGGCATTTCAAGCCAGGAAGAAAAACCTGAAACAAATTTCTTAATGTAGTGAACTTTTAAGTGGAATAATTAATAAATAACAATAATTTTTTAAGAAATGCCTTTTTTTGCATTTATAATTAGAGAATTTTTGTTTTAAAAGTTCTGTAAACAAACATGACAGATTTTGAGGCAGATCCTGTTAGTTCGTAATGCCATTGTAAGAAATATAAAGTGATCTTGACTAATTACGTCACCTGATCGTCGATCGGAGTCGTAAGTTGTGACTAGCGATGTCGATCCAGGATCTAGATGACCTAATGAGTTTTGAGATGTTACAGACCCTATATATTAATCCCTATTACAGACCTGCTTATATCTCTCCATTTTATATTTAGCTGCTTATTACATTTTTTTGTCACAAGATGTCATTGTGTTAAGAATAGAAGCTCTCTATGTATAGATATAGATATAAAATAGTTTGAGAAAATTCAATTATTTTGGCATATCAAAAGTACTGGTATATCCAGTGAAAAAAGAATCCAATAAAAAATCGACATAATGTAAATTTCGGGGTTCTCTTGTAAGTTACGTATACAATCTGTTAGGAGACATTCCAAGAGCTAAGTACCTTCTTAAATGTTTGCCATGTGTTTATCTGCTGCAGAACAGTTCTGTAAATGACTTGAAATTTTTGTCGCGTCTGATACGTTAGTCCCTATTCATTTTTTGGGTTGACAAGAAGGAAACACTCATGTTTCCATGGGTGCCATTTTCTATCCAACGAGAGGGAATGCCATAAACAGGAAACCTTTGCGACCATTTAAAGAAGAATGTAAATTCTTGTTCCATACTTAGGACAAGTGTGTATGGAGAATGCGTGTTCTCCAGAGCTGGTGAAAGTCCTTGTATATCAGACCATTAATCCTTCCTGCTTTACCATCAGAATGTAGTTAGTCAACAAAAGGAATTAAGTTTTGCGTAACATTGGGTAAAATAAGGATATGTCACTCACTGGCAAGGCTACCCATTCGAAATTCGCATCTAAGAATCATAATGGTGAGTTTTGCAAAATTTTATTAATTAAATTGATAAGGATGAAAATTATTAATAAGATTGCATATTTTTTTTGTCATTTTCAATGAGTTTCAAATTTTGAAATGGAATTTTCTTTATAAGTGAAAGTTAATGGTAAGAGACTGGATTTTTAGGAAAGAGGTGGGACCTGAGTGGTTTAATAGGAGATTCTCTTCAGCCCCTTGTCTCCTTCTCAGCTGATCTGACACATACTTCATTCTGTTAACCTCTCTAACAAAAATTCTCAATGCTTGAAATTCAACAGTTACGACCTGAGAAGTCTGTCTTTTTTAGCTTTCTAACAGTACACAATTGGATGTAAGTCAGTCTTAGTACAATCTTGTGATGATTTTAGGACCTGTTGGTTTTGTGGAGTGATAATGGTGACGATTTTTTGTCCCTGTCCTACCTGCGAGAGGTGGAAATTATTGATAAAGTATAGGTATACTTTGAACTGAATGCTAGGACTGATTAGACACAGTGTATTATTGAGGGATGAAATTCAAATCTCAAGTAGATAAAATTCAGGCACCAGTGCAAACATGTACTTTACATGATGTACTATGAAAGTATTAGTGGTAGATAAAGGCTGCGGTTAGTTGTGCGAGATACTTGGAACGGGTGACTCGCGGCTGTCAGTGTCACAGACTGTCGTTGATTCAGCATCATAATCCGTTCCCCCTCTTGAGTGTTACATACAGCGGCCGGCCTGCAGGATCTCGGTGTATAAGATCTGTACAGTTGGGTCACTGCTTCCTAAGGTCCTTAGCCCACCTTGAAAAACATTCTCGCCAATTTACATCCTCTAACACTGGCTTTATTGAATGCACTCATGTGTAAATGATGGACTGCTCTATTGTTTTGTTTGTGGAATAAAAGTCTTCTGGCAGTATGGTAGGTTGTTTTATTTTAATCCTTTTTTGGAATTTTTCTTTCTCTTTTTTTAAAATGATCTAAAAAGAAGCAATTATTCAAACAAGGCTATAATTTCTTCCCCAATTTAACAACAAAGGTAGAAAATTATGCCATTAAAAGAAGAATGGGAAAATTACTTTCTTTTCTTATGCATGTAAGCTTTTACCAGGAAAACTATGTATATAATTTTTGTAACGTTTAGCTAGAAGACATTTAGAATATTAGTCGTAAAGTACTTCAAAGTGTTTCTCTATTAACTTTCCTTCCTTCAAAGTTATTTTCATCCATGTTTATAAAGCGTGCCGAAAAGGCTTTTACAATCCCAGAAGTTGTGGATTTTTTCCGCTGGTCGGTGAGGGGATACTATTGGTTCTTATTTAATTGTCGGGATCCGATTTCTCTGCCTTATACGAACCCTAACTTCCTTTTTTTTCTTTGTTACCTGTATAGTTTGTGTTTATTCGGACCTCTAGTACTTACTGAAATTATTTACGATCCTGACTGCTGTGATCCCAGAGTTTTATGTCAACTGTTTAGACTTTTAAGTGATTCTAAATTCAGGAAACATTTAATTTATTATTATCCCTATTATTGGCAAATATGTAAGTAAGTAAGGAAGATATTTACGTAATATAAAAAAAATAATCAAACGACAATCACAAGTAAACATGGCAATAGACCACACCTGTATGCCAAAATTTGGTTTTATTTAATCATTAAAAGACAATTTAAACAGAACAATATGTTCTTTTTACTTCAAGAGAAAAACAAAATTAATTGCTTCCCTTCGTTTATCTGTTTACATGTTTATTTGCTTCTAAGAGAGAATTTCTTAATCTGAAAACAAAGAACAATGTCGTTCTAGTGACAGGATGTAGGTAGGGGAAGTCGGACTGGCTACAGAAACGACAGATAATGGGAGGAAATCGTACGGACCGTCACAAAATCTTAATCCATCTCCAAGTTTATCAGCTTGTTAATAAACAGCTTCACTGTGTCTTTAAGTTTCTCTCATTTCCTGGAAGTCTTAAAATGAAGATTTGGGGCTTAACAAGAAATAGAGATTTTAAAAAATCTTTGCAAAAAAACAATATCCCAGAGATAAAAAAAAAATTAAAATTAATTAAGAAAAAATATTTGAATGGCTATATGAGACATGGTAAAAAAAAATTGTATTTAAGTTCAACAATATCTCAAATTCTGAGATATTGTCTCATAATCTATTATATTTTTTATGAGTTGACATATTCAAGTGAAGAGTTTAAATTGACATGAAATAGTTCCACCCTGTTAAGGATATTTTGTAGTTATTTGGGATAGAATATTATGTTATTAAAGATTAACTATTAACATTTTTAGAGTGAGTTGAAATTAAGTAGAAAACTGCAATTACAACCATATTATTTTTTTTAGAGTTGTTTTAAGCAGCAATTCCACTTTGGTTAATGAATACTTGAAACTACAATAGTGATTTGAATGATTCAAAAGAGATAAGTATTTAAGGTCCTTCAAAATTGTCATTTCTATTTTCAGGATTACACAATATCATCAGGGCCTCTTGAATCATGTTGGACAAGGGACGCAAATCTGGAGGAAAGGTCGCCCCTGATGATAGAAAACTAAAAACTCGTGGGAGAAACCGAATCTGCAAACAGTGCAAGTTCACCTGCACCGATCCCAAAGACTTTCTAAATCACCAAAAGTACGCACATTCTCAGGAAAATGATCCTGATATACTTAACTCTATAAGTAAGCGACGGAGAAGTTCTAGCGGCATTAATTATAACAGTCACGTCTCACTTGGGAAAAAAATAGCGACCCGATCAAGTGCATCTCATGACAGTGACGACAAACCAAAATCTGATGACAATAAAATTAGCCCTGATATAAGTACATTCCAGGACACAGAAGAGTCACTTTCTCCCGTGAACAGTGACATCTCCGAGTCTAAGTTAGACGAGAACTCGTATTCTATGAACAAAGAAAATTTATCTGTTGATGAAAATAAAGGTGACACTGTTAGTGAAAAATTAGAGAAACTAGAGATGGATTCCACAGAAGCTGAACGTGTCAGTAACTTTGGAAGTGAACATGAGGAACAAGATGAGGAAGGGAAACTGGTGATCGCAGAGGATGACCACGCGTCAAATAAAACACCGACCCGCAGCGGAAACATTCAGAATCGCACTTATGTTTGTAACCAGTGTGAGTTCAGTTCCACGAGTGCCAAAACTTTCCTACATCATCAGAAGGATGAACATCAACCCGACATCATCATATACGAGTGTGACATTTGTGAATACGCCACAAAATATAAACAAAAGTTACCTCGGCACCGAAAACTCCACTTCACCGGGAAAGACAATAGCAGTTTACTCAGTCCCTATGATCTGGACGGTAGTTTTAATGAGAGCAAGGACAGGAGTGGGAGTTTCAGTGAACTGATGAAGATGGACGAGCACGGTCCTAACTTCGTTAGAAACGTCGTAGATGATGATGACGATGATGAGGATGAGGAGGAAGAAGAAGACAACTTACCTCAGATCGAGTCCCATGAGTCAGCGCCCGTAACCGACGGCACACCCGTCGTGGAGAAGAAAAAACGCAAAACCAGACAGGAAGTGGATCCTGGGAAATACTTTGAAGTTCAGGATGACACCGGGATAAAATATGCGTGTTCAAAGTGTGGAAATGTGTACAAGTGGAGGAAATCACTGAACAAACACTGGAAAGAGAAACATTTTGGTGACATTCCTGATTCTAGTGTTCCACCCCCAGGGCTCGCCAAACTCAACAGCCTTAATCACATGCAATATACATACAGATTCCCTACCTCAAAAGGGGGTGACCGTCTGTCACCTTCATCTCAAAGTCAGAGAAGTGAGAGGTCAAGGTCAGAGACCCCGGTCAGTATGGTAGAGCGGTACCAGCCAGGAGCCGATCTGATGGAGAACAGCAGCGTGTCGTCTGTCGTGATGCCGCGATTCATCGGTCCCTTCATCACAGACAGTATGTCGGTAGCTGGAGGTGACCCCTCACCCAGCAAACCCGAGGCGCTCTACCCGAGATCCATGATGGAATCTAGTCGTGAACAACCCATTGACTTCTCTGTCAAGAGGGAGAGCGATTTCAGTCCTTACCTAAAGGCATCACACTCGTCTCCTGCCATTAAATCTGAACATGGGTGGTCTGAACAAACATCTAGTCTTGATCTCAGTGGAAACAAGAAAGAAGAGAGTCCTATACTTCAGTGCAATAGATGCTCCTTTGTAGCTAAAACTTTGGTAGACTATAGCTCTCATATGACTTTACATTTGAACAAACGAGCTTTTAAGTGTGCAGAATGTCAAGAACATTTCAATAATGTAGAAGATTTGAACAAACATTTTGGAGAAAACCATTCCGAGAAAATCCACGAACACAAGGAAGCTATACAGAAGATTCCCCATGGACTGCAGCAGACATATCACCTCCTGAAAATGCCACTGAATTCCATTGGTTCCATTGCCGTATCTGAAGCATCCACTTCCGGGCCGAATGAACCTAAGTATCTGAAATGCAGCATGTGTCACTTTGTCGCTAAATGGCCAGCCGAGCTTCAGAAGCACGCCGTCTCCCACTCCGAGGAGCGACCTTTTGTTTGTATGGTCTGTGGCTCCACCTACAAGTGGAAGTGGGATCTAGTCAAGCACTTTGAGAAGAGCCACAACTCTCTAACCAATCCTTACAAGCGTAGAGAACAAGGCAGCTCCCCGGCTCCATTGACCACCAAACCTGACCAGAATTCCATGATGAAATCCCCTCCCGTGCTCTCCCCAGTAACGGGATTCCCTGGTGAGCGGTCGTCCATGTATCCTATGACAAGCATTGCAGCAGCTCTCATAGACACCGACACATTCCAGAAAAGAAGCATAGATAGCTTGTCCTACGAGGAACCTTCCAGGAAGAAGAGGCGCCTGTCAGACACTGATATGCCTAACCTGATGGACCAGTCTCAGGCAGATCGCCAGGAGTACATCACAGCAGGTGCTCTTAGTTACGACAGACATGACGACTCCAGAGGCATGGAATCCGAGAGTGAGGACTCCCAGGAAAGCCTGAAAATTTCTGGAACTTCTGCTCTACGAGACATGGAGAACCTCATTCCTCCAGAAGATGAGATGGGAAATGATCCAAATGAAATGTTTGGCACCTGTTCCATCAACCCTCAGACCCAGATGGCTGTCATTAATGCAGTCAAGAAGAGAATGGACAACGGAAAGCCAGCCAGCATCCCCTCTAAGACTCGACCAAATGACAAGGACAAAAACTCTGATGTACTTCTGCCATACAAGTGCCAGATTTGCGAGTACAGAGCAAGATGGCCGTCTGAGATTACTCAACATATGAAGAACCACTCTGATGAAAAGCCGTACCACTGCCCTAGATGTAGCTACAAGAGCAAGTGGAAATGGGATGTGGTTAAACATCTGAAGCGGTGTGGGGGAGGCACCATAAGGGATGTCATTGACACTAATAAGCTGAAGAAGCACTCGGCGCCACCTAATGTGACCGTCATGCCTCAGGGTTCCTTCCAAAGACAAGGCCCAGGCTCACAATCAGAATTCATGCAGAAGAATTTAGAAAGTCGCTATGCACTGTCATCTGTGGCAGAAGCTCTTGCAACCAACAACAGTGCAATCATGTCCATGGCTGAAATGAACAAAGCTGGTTATGATGATTATGAAAAGATGATGAGTCTGTCCAGTAACCAGCCACCAGTTTTCAAGAGCATCATTAACCAGGGAGTCTACCACTGCTTTGAGTGTCCATTTATTGCTCAGAGTCCTGCAGAACTGAGGCGTCATGCTGTACTCCACTCTGAAAACAAACCATTCAGTTGTGTTGTTTGTGGATACAGCTCCCGCTGGAAGTGTGACTTGAAGAAACATATCAGAACCTATGGGCATTATGACCAGACCATGCAAGCCAAGCCTTCCTCTCAGCAGACCTCCCCTGGCAAATTCCAGTACCAGATTCCCCAGAGGGACATCTACCCAGAGGACCACGACTCAGAAGACAGAACCTTATACAAATGTAACAAGTGTCCTTACTCCACCTTCAAGAAATATTCATTTGAAATCCATATGAAGACCCATGGTGAGATGAAAAAAGAAGATACTTCTCTGGGTAAATACAACTGTAAGCAGTGCGACTTCCAGGGAACCGATTTGATTTCCTTGCTCCAGCATAAAAAGACCCATGCAGGCAAAGCTACCTCTACTGAAGGAAACAACACTTCACCGGACCCATCTGCCGAGCAGGTGTCTAACAGGACATTGCAGAAACATCGCAGAAAACCTGTCCAACAGTTCCGCTGTCCTAAGTGTCCTTACACCTGCTTCAAGAGATCTGGACTCACTATGCATGAGGCTATGCACCAGCCCCGAGGAGAGGACGCCCTGAAATGTTATTACTGTGACTATAACGTCTTCAGTAAAGGACTCCTGGTTCAGCACATGAGACTACATCCTGAATTTGATCCAAATGAATGTGGAGAATTTGCTGAAATTCTAGAGAATAATGACTTTGATAATATGGACACTGAGGAATATGAGTACCTCCGTAACATGAATGAGGATGCTGACGAATACAACAGTATGATGGATGAGGACTCCAGACAAAGTCCAAGTGAACTAAACAGTTCAGGTTCCAGTATCAAAGCCAGGGAGAGTGGAGCTCTGGATCTCTCCAGCTCAAGCTTGACATCCATCTCGAGCGAGTCCAAGAGAGCGACGGGTGCCACCCTGTGTGAACCACCAGAGGTTCCCAGTTCTTTGATGCCATTCCCTTGTGAGTGGTGCCCAGCCAGATTCCTTAACCTGACCAAACTCTACCATCACGCCAGTACTCATCATCCGATGGAGCTACGCATGCAGGAGATGGGGGAGACACCCAGCATGGCTCTGCCCACCAGGATGAGTGATCCTTACCTTGAACGACAGAAACGCTTGCAGCAGAAACAAGAGCTTCAGAAACAAGAGTTAGAGCAACAAAAACTTCTAGAGCAACAGAAGTTGGAGCAGCAGCATTACCAGCAATCCATCCTCAAAAGTGCCTTGAATCAGTCCAGATATCGCCCCATTGAACCCAAACTCCCATTTTCACTCGGAGAGAAGAAACCTAATCCTGTGTACAGTTCTCCGTCAACATCTGCATCACCAAGCACCAGCACCTTCTCCAAGTTCTCACAAGATGCTAACAACAACAAGTCTGGCATTCCAATATCACAATCCTCTACTCTGGTTGCGCAAGCCCTGCTTGCCAAGGCCAAGAAATCGACCAGCCCTAACAAGAGAGGGAGATCATTCCAGTGTACCAAGTGTTCGTTCACCGCTCCTAACGCAGTGACCTACCTCCGCCACATCGAGCGACACGGCAGTAACTGTAGACACACCTGTAGGTTCTGTGACTACAGCATTGACCGCCTTAACCTGCTGTACCAGCACATGAAGGGAACTCACGGGGATCTGTGGAGGGGGACGCCAGAAGAGAAGATCAACCTGACGTCAGGATCAGGGAGCAAGGTCTACCCCGACGACATGCATTCCAAAGGGCCTTTCACTCCTGACATGAACTCAGAGAGCATGAACAGTAGTTTGGACGGTTCCTTTACTGGGTTATCCAATGACATCCCAGACATCAGTGATGAAGCTTACAACTTCTCCATGAATGAGATCAGAGTTTATCATACAATGGCAGCCAAGGGACAAAACCCAGTCCTGATCATCAAGGAAGAAACGACATGGTATGGCGTACCCATCCAGGTCTGCACCATCAACGGAAGAAAAAGTTACAAGTGTCCAAAGTGCATTTTTGTCAATGGCAACCCCAATAACACAGTAAGTCACGTCAAGCTTCACAGCAGCAGCAAGAGACTGTCATGTGAGAAGTGTGACTTTGGAGTGGACAACCTTAGACAGCTAGAAATCCATTATGAATGCCTCCATCCACAAAACCCAATTTTCATTGAGCGGTCACCAAGCAAGATTCCATTTGTACCAGAATCCAGCAACTCAGTAGAGGAGAACAACAACTCAGTCATCTGGAGCAACCAGACGCAGAAAACCTCCAACCTGATCTTACCGACCTGCACCAACTGTCCATACAAATGCCGGACCGTAGAGATGCTCCAGTACCATCTGACTCTTCATAATCTGGACAGAGAGTTCAAGTGTAATTACTGCGAGTTCAGTGTGGACTCACAGAACCTTCTCCTGAAACACCTGGCTGTTCACAGAGAACCGTACGAACCAGACCTGAGCCAGAATGAGGAGGAAGAAATCAAGGCAGCTAACCAGACACCCACGAGCCAGGACAAGTTCCTCAGTAAAATCGACCTGATGCCCAAGGACCTTCAGAGGGAAGTGACGTCTGCTGAAAACAAACTGACACCACAGACCCTGAAGACCGTTCTGAATAACCTGAAGAACAGCACGGGCAGACTGAGGTACAGATGTTCTAGATGTCCCTACTTCTCCTTCTGTAAGAACAACATCAGCAAGCACCGCAGACAGCACACAGTCAAGAGTAAATTCAAGTGTCAGTACTGTGACTACAGCGCCACCAGAAACTTCCTGAGACAGCAGCACATGAAGTTCCATGAGAATCAGGCCATCACTGACGCTAAGTGTACTAAATACCATGACATCGTCTTGGATCCCTATGATGAGGAGGGCCTGAAAGCCTTGAGCAGCATTCAGACACCAGAGTCTACTTCAACCAATGGTGAAGATAACATCAAAGATTTCTCAGATGAGAATAATGAGAACCCTGAGGAGGCTGATGCCATGTCAGAAGAGAGAGACTTTGATGAGGAGATGGCAGCTCTAGAACAGGCTGAGTTTGAAGGCCTGGAGGACAAGAAGACTTCTGACACAGAGATGGAAGGGCAGGATTCTGACGACAGTCTGTCTGAGATGGATCCCACGACTCTACAGCAGCAAATGTCAATGAATCTGTCGGGAACCGTGGGCAGCGAAGATAAGATCCGCTACACCTGTACCCAATGTCCCTACAAATGTAATGCACTCAGGAGCTTCAAGTGCCACATCCACATGCATGGTCTGAATAAGAAGTACATCTGTGATTTCTGTAACTGGAGTGCTGACCGCCTTAACCTCCTGTATCAGCACCGTAAGGTCCACAGCAAGATGCCCAACTACAATTCCTCTCCAGAGGACATTGTTTTCCTCAACCGTAACTATGCTCTCGAAAACGATTCAAAAGCCGTGATGTCTCCGGAGAACCTTACCATGGAGCAGCTAAAAGAAGGCACCAGCCCAGTGGATGAGAAAGCTCTACAGAGAATGTCTGATCGCCAGTTCAGTGGAAAGAAAATTTACAGCTGCAAATTATGTCCTTTTTCCTGCAACAACAAAAACAGCTTTGCCTATCACAAAAACCTTCACAAAATAAATGCCCGCTACACTTGTAATCAATGTTCCTACAGCATTGACCGCTGGAATCTGCTGGCTCAGCATATAAAGCTCCACAAGATGAGCAGCAGACAAGAGCTGGACAAGAGTAATTCTCAGATGAATGTCTCCAGCCCTGAAGTTGAACCTCAGCTCTACTTCAATGCAGAAGACAGCCCTAACGATAGCGAGATGGAAAGTGAAGAAGAAAAGCCACAGGACTGGAAGTGCAGCAGGTGCCCTTACAGTTCAGGAAGCCAGCAGATGCTATGGGAACACTCTAAGCAGCATCACAAGCATGGGAAGCATAGCTGTCCGTACTGTGACTTTAGTGACCAGCAGGAACAAAGCATGGTGGAGCATATCCAGCTCCACTTCCCCAGCACCAAGCTCGACCCCGACGCTGTCCACGCGATGCTGGCCAAACAGGGCGAAAAGTTCCCTCAGGCCCCCGAAGTTCCCATCGTCAAGACGACACGAAAAGAGGCCAAGAAATCTGAGTCCACAGAAGAACCATCATCCACTGAGGCCCCCAAATCCAGAACCAAAGTGTATGTCTGTCCGTACTGCGAGCGTGAATTCGATAACAAAGAACTGATGTTGAATCATGAACGACAGCATCTGATTGGGTCCAAGTATTAACATTGTGTGTCTAAATGTTATACAAGTTCTCTGTGTTTATTAAGAATACAAACTTGCCTTAATGTTAAGAGGTGCTTTACGATTGTGCAATTTTATCATACTCATTTTGGAGTGCTTTTAATCAGGAGATTCTAGTTTGATGGTCATTTCAATATCATAAGAACTTTTAAATATTATGACATTGTATTATGCACTACAAAGACACTTATTTATGCAATAATCAATGTATAGCAATTTAGTCAAGTAGTTTATCATCGTCAGGTACTTGTGAGTATTTGTTTGGAGGGATATATTTTTGTTCAGGAAGTTAATTTATTTTTATGCATTATGTGTGTGGTAGTGAATTAGGTATACCAAGTTCAGTCAAGTCTTTCACCTTGTGTTCAAATGAAGTCCGTGAAAAACGATTGTCATAGTATTTTTAAACTTTGGTCCAAGTGCTTTTAAAATAATGTAACAAAACCCATGTATGTATAGTTAATACATGTATAAGAACAGTGCAATCCTCTTTGTTCAATTTTCAAGGCCTGATCAAGCCTTTCAGGAAATCCTAGCAATAGAATGGAACCAATTTATCACAATTTTCCACTAGAATATTTGTATATATTGTTAAAATTTGGTATTTGTATGAATATTTTATGATGTATTATTTTTTTTCCTGCAGACAGCAGTATATTTTGCATATATCCACTTTTAATTAATACATTCCATTGTGGTAAAATCACAGGATTTGGAATATTAATCATGTGATTATTTTTTGTTTTGCTTAATTTATGTATCAATAGTACTATCTATGCACATACAATGTACTGATTGTTTAAAATAAACAAATGATGTCATTTACATATATACCAATTACAAAGAGACTTGTTGACGACTGTTGATTTCTTTGAAGTGTGTTGCGAGCCAGTTCTTTACAAACTACCAATTCATCAGTATGCTAGCTGTCAAGATTTAATGAAAATGAAAAGCTTTTCTGCGACACATTGTTAGATTTTTTTCAATTTTTTTATTGGACAGAAGTCTTCCATGAATTTTCTTCCAATAATGTGGTTCAAGGGGAACAACTCCATTTTTTTTCTAAATGTTATACAATAACTATGCATATTAAATATTGTGCCTTATGGGAAATTTTTTTCAATGAACAGAATGTTATATAAATTTGTTCAAAGGATATATATTTTTCTTTAATTTATAAACTGTTGTTGAAAATTTTTAATGGAGATGTTTGGCCCATGCTCATTTTCATGTCTGCTTGATAATACTATAATTTTGTGTTTTTCATTTTTAAATTTGTATCTAGACTTGAGTTTTAGTATAACTATTTTTTTGTACAAAAACTAAGATATTCTGATACGGAAACTCGTTGAGAGAGATGACTGACATGATTTAGTTATACCTTGTCATTAATGCACACAAATCAATTGTTATGTTCAACTTTAAACCAGGGGTGACAAGCAGATTTCAATGTCACCTGAAATGTGTTGACTTCTAATCTTAATTTGGTTAATTAATGGTCTCCTTCGTTAGTTATTCTCTCTCACTGCGGGTCTCGGTGTCAGATTTCCTGTAGTTCTGTACGTTTAGCCACTGATTCCTGGTGCTATTTATAGATGTGTACGAATGTATTCATACTCTTATTATCTATAGTGTATGAATGTATTCATGCACCTTGCATTTTATGAACTTATTATTAAAACAAAATTTTTATCCAAGTTTGTCCCTATTCATTTTTTCACTCCTTTCTTGGTTGTTTTTTTTCCGTTCATTTTTGATTCATTCATATAATCACGTTCAAAGTTATTAGCCATAGTTGCTAGCTGAAGAAATCATGTTACAAAACTTTAGAACAAAATCCAAGCAATGTAACAAGAATTTTGAGTGAAGCTTCATAATGGGATTAAACCTCCATTATAATTGCATGTAATGTAGACTATATAACCAACGTTTTAGTTATTGAACCATTTTAGAGCATTTTTTCTTCTTTGAAATATTATGAAATAAATAGAATTGAAAACATAGATAATTGTTTTTATTTCTAAAGACAAGAACAGCTAGGGTTCTTATTCTTAGGAATTGTCGAGTAAAAATCAGCAAATACGGCTGCCCCAAGGTCTGTGCATGGTAAAGCGGAGTGAGCTTGTGAGATCAAGGTCCACAACTGCACAAAGAACGGAGCAGGAATAATTTCCGATATTCAATCAATAACCTTCGTATAACCCATTTATTGCATACTCTAAACGTATTACATTTGGCTGTGTATTCTATTTAGCACCTTTGGCGGAAAGAAACTTTCGCTAATTCAAATACAAGGCTAAATGTTTTGCACACATAGATAGACATAGTGGAGAATTTTAAGAACTGCCCTTATTCAAATCTACGCTTACGTGTTTAAAAGTCAATTTCCACTTAGTATCATACACGCAAAATATAATACATTTACAGTATTTTAAAGGCACCAATATAGTGGTACTTCAGAATGTAATATATGTATCTCTAAATTTCTGGTCAAAATGTTACATTTGTATGCGATGTCATTAAAAAAAAAAAAAAAACATTTGATAGCAAGCATTTATTCAATGAAAACAAAATGACAAATATGAAATGACTATTGCACATGATTTGGGGAAAATGGTAATAAATGAGCAAAACACCTGATAGGAGGATAAAAGTTATGGTGGAATTAAAAATGCACACAAAACTATTGGTAGCACAAAAACGTGGATACAGGCCCTTAAATATGCCATACATTTGTGGTGACTGTGATATATTTAGTATTCCTAGTATTTAATTACAGAGTAAAACTACATTACATAACAAAGATATAAGAATCTATTATTGTTAACCAATCAGTCAAATAGACTGGGACTCAAATCTAATCGCCCTCTACTTACATAAATTTTCATACATTAACACTATTTTCCGAAGGGAAAAAAATGGTTCATTCATAAAGACTTGGGAACTGCTAGTAATTATATCTTTTAAAATAAACTTGGTTGTTGTCTGATGTTATCATTTGAGTTACCTAGTAAAGGTAAATCATTCAGGTGTAAAATGAGTGGTTTTTGTGGTTTTCTGGTCATTAAAATTAGAATTAAAAATCCATTTATTTAAAATTGAATGCATATTCTGCATCTATAATTATACAAAAGGCTTCTCTTTAAAAAAAATTCAAAATGATTACTACATTAAGGTTCATTGATACTCTGATAAGAGAGATAACTCTTAATGACACAAATGTCTATTATTCCTTTATAAATTTGTCAAGTTTAAGTGCCTTTTTTGTCAAATTTTGCCCCGCAGGCCATGCTATAATTGTTTGTATTTTATTCAGCATATACATTTGCTTTGGAAAATCATAAAAGTTAAAGAAAAAAATCATATGAGTGAGCAGAGGGTTATGAACCTTAATACATACATATTTCAAAACTCATACATGGGGATTTCAGATCTCTGTGAACAAGCAATATAAGTTTTATTTTTTTAAATTTGAAAAAATTTCAGTGTTCTCATTCAATACTTGTAAAAAGGAAACCAATAATCATAAGATTCAATAGTAATGTGTTGATTGTATTAATTTTAAGTTGTACTTAGCCGGCTATTTTAGATTATACAGAGTGTCTGAGCACTCATTTCCCAAGAGATCATTATCCTGTTATTTCGATGGGAGTTTAAAAAATATGAACACTAAAATACATAGGCTTTCCTTCAATATGATATTTTTTTAAAAAGTGTGTGAATGATTAATTTAAACAGGGATTAAAAATAAAAACAACACAACTACTACCTGTAGGTATATATAGACTGTAAATTAGTTATTCCTCCATCTCAACATTGTGTTACTAGTAATAAAATTGTTTTTTCTTAAAGATATTTTTAACCAAAATTAAATTACCAAAGAACCTCAAACCAAAAAAAAAAAAAAAACACACACACACACACAAAAAAAGTGAAAACAAAAAAAAAAAGAAGTTCAGCTGTATGAAATTTAAATCCTGATTTTTTTTTCCCAAATTATTATTTATTTTCTTTTCTAGAGATATCATTTTTCAATGAAATAAAATAATATATTACATGCAATTCCATTTTTCAGCCAAATTTTTGTGTGTGTTTATTATTTCGAAAATGGCTACAATGAAGTACTAGTAACCATTGTCTAAATTCCATAGGACTAAAGGAGGTAGTTATGTGATATGATTATACATTTCACAGTTTAAATACCCTTGTTTACAGCACACAAAAAAAAATCATGCAACAGCTATTGACTAGATAAATATGACATAAGTCTAACTAAACAGGAAATAATGCCTAACAACAAAATCATTCTTATGACAGAAGTAAGCAATGTTTAATACCTGACCCCATTTTTTGTTAAAATTCTTTAAATTTCCTGCATTATATTTGGTTCTTCTGTTATAAGAATATAAGAGCAAAGCTGGGCTTCCCCTTGCAAAAGAGCACATCTATATTAAATAAAGACAGTATTCAACATGGATACCAATGCAAATTACATCATTTCCATTATGATGCACAAAAGGTCAAACTAACAACCCCCCCCCCCCTTTACACACAGACATCACATGCACACAAGCAAAATACTTTACTTTATCTGCTCCAACTTTTTTTTGCAAATGAATAACAAGTTTTATTAGGTGTACATGCTAGTCATGCAGCAAGAATTTTTTATGCGACATGCAAAATCATAAAATATAAGAATTTGAATCTATGTGAAGCCCTCAGACTATACTTTCTGAATTAAAAGGTCTTTAAAAACAGAGCATATTTTTTCAATCTCTACAGAAGGTAAAAATCATCATGTTTATAAAATCATGAACACTAATATTATTATACACATTAAAACTATCATTATCACCAAATGTGACCTCTCTACTCATTTATTTGCTATTCTAGCATTGACCTTCATTGTTTTACAATTCAAAAAGTTTAATTAATATTTCAATAAAAGGCACAAAAGAGTGATGAAGAAACCAAATTTTAACTCTTTTTTTTAAATAAGCAGATGATTAAAGGGAGATAATTCTTCTCTAAATAAGATTTTCAAATGAAAAATCCACTGGCAGGGAAAATAATGCAAGAAAGGCACTTGATTCAGTTAAATTGTTTCCAGAAATGATATTCACATAACTGTGTTCATGAAATTAAATACCCTGTAAGCATTTATATACAATTTCATGTACATCTTTAAAAAAAAATGAAAAAATGAAAATTTTCAATCTAAAATGTTTCATGAATCATACCATACCACACAGTATACAGAACACTTTTCAGGCTATAAATCATTTTGGCAGCACTTGTATCTATGACTTAAAAAACCTATATTAAAATTATCAGCTGTACTTAATTTTGGTCCATCTAAAAAGTGTCTCTGGCGACCGGTACAGGAAGATAAGCTTTGAGAACAGGTACTCCTCCATGCGGTAGTCCCGGCTCTCTCTCACCATGTAAATGTCCAAACACAGATTGAGAATGTTGTCCACGTTAGGCAGCTCCTGGAACACGATGTTGTACGAGCTGCCAGAAAAATAGAGACGAACGAATCGCCCAATCACCAGTACCAGGGAGACGTACAGACCAATGATGCTACAACGAAGATGTACAGGCTAATGATACTATGACGAGGGAGTATAAACAAGGCGTTTATGTACAAAATGTTAGCAACATTAACTTCACTAAACTTAGCTTTGTGTAAAGTAATACAAGAATGCTTAAATCTGCTGTCTGACCAATCATATAATAAATAAGCAGGACATGGAAATCTTAAACACTTTTGATTACCTTGAAGGTTAACTCCTTCTTTAGAAGGAAAATTTTTCTGGACCACAAATTTATGTAAAATGCCTTCTTTCACATATTTTATCTTGTACTGGTATATTTTATATACATGCCTTAAAATACAATGATGATGTACATTAAGCACTTAAATACATGGTAAAAAGGTACCTAAACTTTTGAAGTGACAAGGACCGGGAATATACTGGTAGAATGTAATTTACAAAATATAAATAAATAATACAAAGAATAAAAAAAAATCTATATAAAAATAACATGTAAATATGCACATTTATGTACCAATACATAAAATGTTATAAATATACCAGGACTACCAATACAGACATCGAATGTCGACACTCTAAATACAAAATCTAATACAACATTAACAACCCAGAGAAAACACAAATATTGTGGTTAAGTAACTAAACACTAAGGCCAGTATTCATTAAGAGTTTATAATTCTTGTCTCTAGTCGTTTTTCTTGGCGTCTGTGATGATGAGTTCCTTGGGAAGTCGAGTGTACTTGACTCGGGTCTCAGAGGAGCGGTACACGAAGATGAGTTTGGCGTACAGATCTTCCTCGAGTCTGAACTCGTGCATCTCTCGGACCAGATAGACGTCCAGACAGAGCTGTAACATGTTGTCTACGTAGGGCAGCTCCAGGTACGTAATTCTCTCCGCCAGCCCGGTGGTGCTCAGTCGCAGGATACGACCGATCAACAGAATGAAGGTCACATACAAACCAATTATTCTGAAAGAACAGGTTGTTAATGTCAGAACAAAAAATACAGCTGTGTTATAATTACAATTTTCTGGAGTCTCAAGCTTATTTGAGCTGGAAAAAATTAAAATCCTTAGACAATGGGTGAAAAGCTCACCAGTCACAATTTGAAGTGAGGCATCAAATTTCTCAATAAAATCATTAATCAAAAAATTTATTTCAGTTTATTAAGGCAAGTATTGTGTCTATTTGTTTCATGCTGGTTCAGGAAAAAATAATAATAAAATAAAGCATTTAAATTTAACAAGAGGCCCCTGGGCCACATCGCCATCTAAGTAACTTGGGTGATGCAGCTTTTTACCAGATTTCCCCTCTTGCTATAGCTATCGTGCCCCCTACCCCTTCCTTTTGATGATTTTAATACTTTAGAATCTACACTACCCCAGGATGCTTCCATATAAGTTTCATCTTTCCTGGCCCAGTGGTTTTTGAGAAGAAGATTCTTAAAAGATTTTTCCTAAATGTATCTATGTAAAACTTGGATTCCCTACTGTGGCCCTGCCCTACCCCCGAGGGTCGTGATTTGTACATTTCTATGTAAAACTTGGAATTCCCTATTGTGGCCCCACCCTACCCCCGGGGGCCATGATTTTTACAATTTAATATCTACACTACCCAAGGATGCTTCCACAAAAGTTTCAGCTTTCCTGGCCCAGTGGTTCTTGAGAAGAAGATGTTTAAAGATTGGTTCTATATATTTCTATGTAAAACTTGGGATTCCCTATTGTGGCCCCGCCCTATCCCCGGGGGTCATGATTTTAACAATTTAATATCTACACTACCAAAGAATGCTTCAACATAAGTTTCAGCTTTCCTGGCCCAGTGGTTCTTGAGAAAAAGATTTTTAAAGACTTGTTCTATATATTTCTATGTAAAACTTGGATTCCCTATTGTGGCCCCGCCCTACCCCCGGGGTTCATGATTTTAACAATTTAATATCTACACTACCCAAGGATGTTTCCACATAAGTTTCAGCTTTCCTGTCCCAGTGGTTCTTAAGAAGAAGATTTTTTAAAAACCCCACCCTATTTTTGTCTTTTCTTGATTATCTCCCCTTGTAGAGGACTTGGACCTTCATCTTAACAATTTAAACTCCCCTTTACCCAAGGATGCTTTGTACCAAGTTTGGTTAAAATTGGCCCATTGGTTCTTGAGATGAAGTCAAAAATGTGAAAAGTTTACAGATGGACAGATGGACGGGCGGACAGATGACGGACAAAATGTGATCAGAAAAGCTCACCTGAGCCTGAGCTGATAAAAATCATGCAAATACAAAAAAGCTCATTTTATTAGTGCTTATCATAAGATTTCAGCAATATTACACACTGCATTATTAAAGTGCAAAAATCAGCTTACTGGCAAGTTACAATTGTGGATGATATTGACTTACACATGTAAACCTATTGTGATTTAAGATACCATGCGGTGAAAAAAATACAATCATATATTGCTTAAATAATGATAATACATGTAATATGCAATGAACTGAAAATATAAATGATCAACAAGAGGTCCATGGGCCACCTTGCACACCTGAGCTTGCCTTGGAAAAAGCACAAATCAGTTTAATATTGAAAAGTTTAAATGGGGAGGTGGTGGCAAACTTTATGCCCTGTTCACACAGAGAGTTTAATTCGAATTAAACGTAAGTTTACTGCGAATTAGCTTTGCTTAGTGTTCACACGGAGAATTTAATGCGAATTAGTTAAATTCGAATTAGTTTACTGCACATTAAATCACTGCGCATTAGCTCCGTGTGAACGCTAAGCGAAGCTAATTCGAATTAAATTCTGACGCATGCGTAATGGCAAAATTTAGTCAAATGCCACTTGTCGGTGGTCAGCTATTGGTACTTGTGCTATTTTTGAGTGAAAAACTAAGGAAAATCATCAAAATGTGCATACAGACACTTTGCCATTATGTCAAATGGATCTGCTTCTGCATAAGGTGACGTGATTTGCAAATGACGTCATAATAGCCGTGCTGACGCCGGGCTGCAGAAGCAAAATAATAATTCTCATTAGTTTACTTCGAATTAGCTGTCGTGTGAACGCAATTTAATTCGCATTATTTTAATTCGCATTAGTTTACTTCGCATTAATTTACTGCGAATTAAACTCTCCGTGTGAACAGGGCATAAATTTCATACTACCCAAAAGTGCTTCCAATTCAATTTTTGTCAAGTGGGGGATATTAATTTGGGTCTGTCCGTCCGTCCGTCTGTCATTCTGTCTGTCTGTAATGCTTTTGTTTCCACACGATATCTCGAGAACCCTTTGAGCTTTCGCAATGAAATTTTGCACAGCAACTCCCTATGGACTAGAGAAGAACCCTATTGATTTTGAGGTCAAAAGGTCAAAGGTCAAGGTCAAAAATTTGCAAATTCTGTCTGTTAAAACACTTTCGTTTCCACGCGATATCTCGAGAACCCTTTGAGCTTTTGCAATGAAATTTTACATAACAACTCCCTGTGGCCTAAGGAAGACCTCTATTGATTTTGAGGTCAAAAGGTCAAAGTTCAAGGTCGTAAATTTATACATTCTGTCTGTATGAAAAACTATCCTTTTCGGGCGATATTTCAAGAAGATTTTGAGCTTTTGCAATGTAATTTTATACCAAAACTCCCTAGGACCTCTCTTACCCTCTCAAAGTGTCCCGTCCCGTTTGTTTTATTAGTATTTATTGTATTATGTTGCTATTTTTAGCACTGGCGCATGAGGAGTGTTATAACGTATAAAACAGGTTTTCGGTGGACTTTATATTCTTATTACATCTATTAGAACTGTTTAATAAAGGTTAAATTAGACACCATGCATTGTGTAAAATTTTGACAATATCGAACGTGAATATATACATGTATGTGACTTCATCTTTGCATATAATTTGTGCCAGTGTAAAGCAGTTCCGTGGTCTAGTTGTATGTCTCTCGCTTCACATGTGAGAGGGCCTGGGTTCGCATCCCGGACGATCCAATTTTTTTTTTTTTTTTTTTTTTCGAAATACTTTTTTTTTTACTTAATAATGATAGTAATCAGCATGTGAAATGAAAAATTTATGAGGTCTGGGTTGTACAAACTCATAAAATCATCAATACAGTGTGATAAATATTCCATATAAAAAGAATCTTCTATACACATAATAAAGAATAAGCAATCAAATCTTTATATCCATATTGGCATATTTTATTTGCTTCAGTATACATTTAATAATTCTACAAATTCAGTCATGGGGATCTGACCCCCCCCCCCCCCCCTCCCCCTGAACTGCACATGGTTTACTTTTTCCCTAAGCAGGGGACACAAATTCTCTGAATTAGCTTGTATAGCTTTGCTTCCAATTCAATTTTATAGCTTTGCTGTTCCTTATGCATTAAAGACACTTTTCCGATATATTCCCTTGATTTGATCCCTATTGTGACCTATCCCTACATGATAGGGGTCATGATTTACACAAATTTGAATCTATACTATCTGAAGATTCTTCCATAATAATATGACTAATCCTGGCTTTACTGTTCCTGAGAAGAAGATTTTTTTACATATATTCCTATGAAAAATGTTTATCCCCCACTGTAGCCCCCAACCTAACTTTAGAGGTCATCATTTGAACAAAATTGAATCTACATAAAAAAAAGTTTAAACTTTTTTGGCCCAGTGGTTCCTGGGGTGAATATTTTTAAAAGATGCAAATTTTCACTTTCTGAATTATCCCCCTTGAAAAAGGATATGGCCCTTCATTCCAACAAACTTGAATTCTGTTCACCCAAAGATGCTTTGTGACAAGTTTTGTTGAAATTGGCCCAGCAGTTCTGGAGAAGAAGTTGAAGATGTGATAATTTTACAAATGGGTCGACAGACAGACTACAGACAAAGCTCAATTAAGATATCAGCTCTGGTCTACAGAGGAAATGAATCCATAACAACTGTCACCTTTATGATTCAAAACTATTTGTATGCCAAACATTTATCTCTTTCAAAATAAATGGAAAGTTATATCTACTTCTTGAAGAAACTTCTAAGAAATTTCAAATACAGAATTCTTATATTTAAATCAAAATATTTACAGCAACTCAGGAAAAATACATATACTGTAACAGCACATATTTTCATGGGGTCAAATTTTCAAGGTTTGAGGAAAAACTCTTGGTTCATTGGGGATTTGATTTCATGGATGAAGAATTGTTTAGTTTTATGTACGAAACATTTTACATTTCTTGATGGACACAAATTCGTGGGTCGCTTCATTCCTCAAACATAGGTAATCAGAGATTACAGAGCTCACCTCAATGAATGTTGTCTTTAAGTAAGGTAAAGTCACACAATTAACCAAAAAGAAGTGTACATCCAAAAATGGAAATATTTATGCAATTTTGATCTGATACTTTGGAATAGACCTAGCTGTATATAAAAACTTTAAACTAGTTCTTTTTCATGAAAGTGTAATTAAAATCCAGATCTGAAGCAAATTTGAGAGTTTTCATCCCTTGATGAATCATTTGTGCACGTTTGGTTTATACAATGTTATATAAGCCTTATAGTTTTTTGGTAAATAGACCTGCAGCCATAACTTTTACCTGGTCCATTATCTGAAAAATGTATGTCTAATTCAGCATCCGAAGCAAGTCCATTAGTGTGCATCCTAAGATGTATCGTCCATGCAAGTTTGCTCATTATAGGACTTATAGTTACTTGTAAATGAGACCTGCACCAAAAACTTTAACCTGTTCACTCAACCAGAAAATGTAGGTCAGATTCAGCATCCGAAGTAAGTCTGGTAGTATGCATCCTTAGATGTACCATCCATGCAAGTTTGGTCATAATAGGGCTCAAAGTATCTTGGAAATGAAAACTGCACCTAAAACTTTAACCTGTTCACTCAACCGGAAAATGTAGGGCAGATTCAGCATTCGAAGCAAGCCTGGTAGTATGCATTGTAAGATGTATCAAACCTGCAACTTTGGTCATTATAGTGCTCATAGTATCTTGGAAATGACACCTGCACCAAAAACTTTAACCTGTTCACTCAACTGGAAAATGTAGGTCAGATTTAGCATCCGAAGCAAGCCTGGTAGTATGCGTCCTTAGATGTATTATCCTTTTAAGTTTGGTCATTATAATAGTGCTCATAGTTACTTGGAAATGAGACCTGCACCAAAAACTTTAACCTGTTTACTCAACTGGAAAATGTAGGTCAGATTCAGCATCCGAAGCAAGTCCATTAGTGTACATCCTTAGATGTATCATCCATGCAAGTTTGGTCAACATAGGGCTTATAGTTCCTTGGAAATGACACCAACACCAAAAACTGCACCAAAAATGTTAACCTGCTCCAAAAACCTTAACCTGGTCATTCCTTTGCTGAAATTGCAGCATCTGAAACTTTGACTGGTACAATGAAACACACTAGAAGCATCTTCCATGCATGTCTAATCAATATAGGACATAGAAGTACTTTAAAAGAAAACTGTTCCAAAAAACTTAACCTGGGACGCCGACACCGACACTGACGCCGACGCCGACGCCGACGGGGACGCCGAGGGTATTACATAAGCTCCCCCAACTTCGTTGAGGTGAGCTAAAAACAACGAAAATTAAACCCCCAAGAAAACTTGTGATTTCACAGTAAACCAAAGGACAGTAGACTAAAAATTATCACAAGGTACTACCAAGCATAATAATGCACTATAAATGAAATAATAAACTACATCTATAATACTTTCCAATAAATGATAAATGCAATAAACAAGCTGTGAAAAAGTTCCATGCCAAGAAAATAAATGCTCTAGGTGAAAATCTGATCATACAGCAAAAGAATTCCAAATAAAGGCCAAATTAATTCCAATATAAAGCTGCACACACACATAATATACAATACATTGTTTATTTATGCCAGGTATACATATATGTCATTCATGTTAGTATGAAGAATAAATATATGACATTGACACTTAGTTTAAACATTGACACTAAGAGAGACAACTCTTACCCGTATCCTGTGATGAGAGAGAAGCCGGCCGGTGCAGCTCGGTCGTTCAGGGTGATCAGTGTCAGGTAGTCCGAGGAATTTCCGCAGTTTTTGATCTGGGGGTCGGGACACAGGCGCTCGGGCTGGGACGTGGAGATCAGCTCCTTCACGTTCCACCATTCTGTCACATTGTTCATACTCAACTGCATGGAGACGTTACTCTTAGGGATAACTACAAAACAAGAGATACCTTAACACAGGCTTCTTAACACTTAAGGCCTCTACATAGTAACACAGAAAAAATAATATTTCACGTTAAGAAAAATTCTCATATCTTGATTAATATCCTTTATTTTTTATTGGCCCGGCTTTGAAAAAAAATCTTGATTTTTCTCTGATCTGATATTTTCAGCAATCTTACTTACAATACAACTGAACCAACAAAGCCAAAATAACAGCTTTACACACTTGTTAACCAGGGGCGTAGCAACCGGGGGGGCCTGGCCCCCCCACTTTTTTCCCCAACATTACTTATACTATAGGAAATGTTAATTGAAAGCCTGGTTGGCCCCCGCACTTTTAGTGATGTACCGAAAATGTAGTATTAGAATTGGTACTTAAAGTAGTTGACACTGAGAAAAAGTTTACCTATCCCCCCCCCCCCCCACCACGAAAATAGGATGTTCGGCTTTGGGTAATTTCACTTTTTCCTTTTTTTTTTTTTTTTTTTGCTTGTCAACTTTTTCAGGTAAGTAAAAAAAATTTTTCCTCTGGCTGGCCCCCCCACTTTCAAAAACGATGCTACGCCACTGTTAACACAAACAAATGAATGATCATTGACAATTTGATAAGTTTTATTTCCCAATCAGACTAATAATCATAAGAATACTGTAATTAAGGTACTGTAAACCAACTATTATTTGCGTTAACTATTACTCGCGTCAACTATTACTTGCGTCAACTATTACTTGCGTATTATTCACGATTTTCAGTTTGAAATCACTCCGTGACCATTAATGTTTGCGACTGAGGAAGCATTTTCTACGAATACTAAGCAAAATGATTGGTTCGTGGCGATAAATATTCGTGACTTACAATAGGTCGCGGAACTCGCAAATATTTCTCGCACGTGAATAAAAGTTGGTTTACAGTATTATAAATGCCTAAGAATAAACAACTTAGACAGATAAGTAAACTTGTAAACTTACATGTAAGCACATTGGATGCCTTCTTTGATAGTCGGAAGAAGCGAGTAAAAAGTTTGAGAATTGTCCTGTATAAAAAATATAAAATCTCATTATACAAAACAACTACATTAAGCTTAGACAACTCCTTAATCTTCCTTTATCTCTCACAAATAAATAACAGAATTGACCAACACTGAGTTACTGGATGGTTTGAGTGACTTGACATTGTAAGACTTACACAGGGTTACTGGTGTCTGTTAGGTGCTTGGCCAGTTTCATTCTGGTTGGGTCATCCAGGGTGTCCATCAGATGAGATGTTAAGGACTGACTAGCATCGCTGGAGGTGGGGTTTCTACAGGAGAATTATAACATGACAGATCTAATAGCTTACACTTAGAACACTGAATAACTCTAAACCTGCTGTTACTGACTGACTGGCATCACTGGAGGTCAGGTTCATGAAGATCATAATTATCAAAGGTTATAGGTGGATAGAAAGATAGACTACCAGCAGATGGACCTTGGACAACACATGACCAAACACTCATAATAGATTATTATAGTTTCCATAAAGATTAGTGTAAAGTAAGCATTTAAATGAAATGTACAGCTTGCAAAAACAAGAGAAATGTTGAGAAATGCTAATTTTTCTTCTCTACCTGACAAAGTTAACCTCGAACTCTATCTGTGCCCCAACAGTCATGTTGAGGAAGTTCCGTAACTCCGTCTTACTGGGGGGACTAATCCCCCACACGGATGTCGACTTCCCATTCAGCTTTATAATCGTGATGTCCTCAGGCTCGTATCTGTTCAGGTTACTCACAGCTTTCTACAAATTATAACATCTCAACTGATTACAGATATCTCAAGAATTTTGCCAACATTAAATGACTTTGTAGTCCACTGATTACTGTATTAAAAAAAAAAGACATTTACAATTACTTAATAGGCATAAAAAATCATGCCAATTCTCTGTTTTATGACAGTATTTACATGTAAATTCAGACTGACCTTATTTCCCATGTCATTGAAGTAGGTCAGCAGGTCATTGTATTGAGCTGTACTTAGGGTTTCTATGCTCTGTTGCTGTGCCTGAACTTTGAATAAGGGCTGCAACAGAAAATAAGGATTAAACGAAAAGAACAAAAATGGCTTCAAAAAGTGAAACTGGAAAATATTCTAATTATAACCTAGCTATAGTAAATATATTTGACTACAATAATAAGTATTTACTGCAGTTCATACACAGACAGCTGAAGGATAAACTTTAATCAACTCATACAAGTCAAAAACTGACCTGAAATCCTCCAATGGCAATTGACACCGTCACAGAAACTGGCGGGTTACTGACGTAAACTGTGTTGGCAAAGGAGAAGATGACCAGCGGGAACCAGATTATAAAGATCACGAGAACCAGCAACAATCCTCCGACACCATACTTTATCAGAGAACCTTTCTTTTGAGAGCGAGGGGTCGGATATTTCTGTAAATTAAAGTTTTTATTACATAAAGATCTAAGCATGTTATGTAGCATTCAATATAGCATACCTCAACAGTTACCAATTGATAATTTTCAGCTCAGATTTTGTGTAATCCTATGATTGCAACCCCAGATATGTAACCCTTTCGGCCTCTCTCCAGCACTTGAGGACATATAGATTGACAATTTTTAATTTAGATTTTGTGAGGATTATAATTGACATGTTACCCTTTCGGCCTCCCTCCAGCACTTGAGGACGTATATATTGGCGTAGATGTCCTCCATCTGTAGCCAGCTTCCTATGGCCAGGGTAGAGTCAGTCCAGATCCAGTCCATCAGGACCCGCAACTCCAACAGGAACGGGATAGCCAGGAACCTACACACAGGAACAAGAGGCCCAGGGGCCACAGCGCTCACCTGAGCACATTGGCTTGGAGAAAACACATATCAGATCAGAAATGAAAGTTTACCGGGAGGGGGGGGGGGGGGTCTTGAATTTTAACCCCCCAGAGGTTCATGATTAGAACAAACTTGAATCTACACTACCTGAAGATGATTCCATATTAATATCACTAATCATAGCTTTGAAGTACTTGAAAAGATGATTTTAAAAGGTTTCCCTATAAATCCCTATATAAAACTTTGGTCGGCCATTTTGGCCCCAACCTAGCAACGGGGGTCATGATTTGAACAAACTTGAACCAACACTGCCTGAGGAAGATTCCACAAGAATTAAATCTTTCCTGGCCCAGTGGTTCTTGAAAAGAAGATTCTAAAAGATTTTTCCTATATATTCCTATGTAAAACTTGGGCCGGCCATTTTGGCCCCACCCTAGCTCTGGGGGTCATGATTTGAACAAACTTGAATCTACACTACCTGAGGATGATTCCATATGAGTTTCATCTTTCCTGGCCCAGTGGTTCTTGAGAAGAAGATTTTTAAAGATTTTTCCTATGTATTTCTATGTAAAACTTGGGTCGGCCATTTTGGCCCCACCCTAGCCCCAGGGGTCATGATTTGAACAAACCTGAAACTACAGTACCTGAGAATGATTCCACATGAGTTAAATCTTTCCTGGCCCAGTGGTTCTTGAGAAGAAGATTTTTAAAGATATTTCCTATATATTTCTATGTAAAACTTGGGTCGGCCATTTTGGCCCCACCCTAGCCCCGGGGGTCATGATTTGAACAAACTTGAATTGACATTACCTGAGGATGATTCCACATGAGTTTCATCTTTCCTGGCCCAGTGGTTCTTGAGAAGAAGATTTTAAAAGATTTTTCTTATGTATTTCTATGTAAAATTTGGGTCGGCCATTTTGGCCCCGCCCTAGCCCCAGGGGTCATGATTTGAACAAACTTGAATCTACAGTACCTGAGGATGATTCCACATGAGTTTCATCTTTCCTGGCCCAGTGGTTCTTGAGAAGAAGATTTTTTTAAAATGCAATTAATTTTGCACTAATTCATAATTATCTCCCCTTGGAAAAGGGCGTGGCCCTTCATTTGAACAAACTTGAATCCCCTTTACCCAAGGATGCTTTGTGGCAAGTTTGGTTGAAATTGGCCCAGCGGTTCTTGAGAAGAAGTCGAAAATGTGAAAAGTTTACAACGACGACGACGACGACAACGACGACAACGACGACAACGACGACAACAACGACAGACAACGGACAAATTTTGATCAGAAAAGCTCACTTGAGCCTTTGGCTCAGGTGAGCTAAAAACAAGGTATTAACACATGGCTCTAGAGATCAATGTCAACTTATAGGAAATCAACTTTTTAGTGATTACAAAGATATGACATATACTATAACTCCACTCATTGGTTAAACACAAACAAAAAATGCTGAAAGATCATCAAAGTTGTATGCACTAAAGATGTAAATTAAGTTATCATCAACCTTCAATTTGTCAATATATGTTGTTTATAAAACTTACCCTTTAAAGAGGAACAAGTTGAGATAGTTGTATTTCTTGGTTAGGAAATTTCCAAGTATTCTGGTGGGATAGCTGGATCTTATCTGGTAAGCTGACAATCCAAAGTATAGGCACTTAAAGAAGTAAAATAACTGGGCTGGAGTGTTCTCAGAAAATCTCCTGTAAAAATAACAAAGTAAGGCACTTGAAGTAAAACAGCTAGGCAACAGTGTTCTCAGAAAATCTCCTGTAGAAAATAACAAAGTACAGAAGTAAACAAACAAGTCAAATGATAAGAAGCAAACCCAGAGCTAAACATTGAGGCTGAGACACTGAACAAGAACTTTCCCCTTCTCCCCCCCCCCCCTTTCCTCTAAACTTAGCTATAAATATGTGGTGCTGACCTTTTTGTGACATAAGGCAGGATGAAGAAGAGCCACACATGGATAAGGATGACGAGGAGAATCTGGAAGATAAACTTCCCCAGGATGTTCTTCCTCAGATAAAGGGCTCGGTCAACGATGATCAGGATAAACTGGGTCAACAGCATAATCAAGAATGGAACTGGAATCTGGAAAACAGCAGGAACAAAACAAAGACATCTCTACCCTGTCTTATTGCTTTGTTGTAATTAAATTCCACATATTTACAGAATTACTGAGATTGAGCATCAGAACACTCACCCTGTCCTCAGAGATGTACTCTGTTACATTGTCTCCACCAGAGGTTTGCTGAAATCAAAAATCTTATACACAGATCATAAACATATTCTCTTTGTCATTATTAAAACCTTCAGTCAGGAACACTATCTTATTGAGGTAATGATCAATTTACAAAAAGAGTCCAAGTAATCCTAAATCTGTGTACCTCTGGACCAAATGCCCAGTAACCAAACACGAGGATGAGGAAGTTGATGAAGTCACACAGGAACATGGAGGCGTACACGTCGGTGGTAGCGTTGTATTTAGGGTCGGTCAGCTGACTGTAGAAACTCTTAAACGGCTGTAACACCAACTGGAGGCTGCAAGGGGAGAGAAGTATCAGGTTATTTCAAAACTGAAATAAACAGTAGGGGTCAGTGAAGTTATATATTAGATTATAGAGGAGCTTCGAAACTCTACCTTGGTCTATCATCTCCATTACTGTCCTGTGTAGTCCTGCTGCTTTCTAGAGGCTTGGCTTCCTAAAATATTTCAAAATTTATAGATTGTTAAAATTTACAAGTTTAAATTTACACTATGTGCAATTTTCATTATGAATTACATTAGAAATCTATAACATTCAACCCTGTATCATATATGAAAATGTGCAGTAATCAATTTATCATCATGGACAGGTGCTAGCTGTTATACCACCAACAACATCCAAAAATAAGAAGTTAATGCTTAAGTACTCCAACTACAAAATATTCCTGCTTTTTTTTAATGGACATAATTCTTCTCTGAACATTGTCTCTTCTGTGAAAAGCACTAAGACATTTTGATACACTTCATTTTTCTAAACTAATAATGAATCTCTGCCTAATTTCCTACCTCCTGTACTGGTGTAGTTGGTACAGATAAATGTTCCTCGATTTTAACCAGGTCAGCTGAGATAGAATCAGCATCCTTCCACAAGCCATATCTCTGGATAAAAAACAATAGTTTCAAAGCACTCATCAGAGACCATACAAAATTATATATTTCCACAATTTAGACCCCTAAATAAAAATAATAATTCGAAAGTTCTAAAAGAGTAATAGTACAATTCTTTTCTTTCTGATTGTTAATATTTTCTTCATTATATGAAATATTTTTTGGAAAAATTGATAATGTTTGATCTTCTACATCAGATCTACTACAGCTGAGAATTTTCTGACCTTGAGGACAGATCTGTGTATGAACAGAGCCAATAGAAGCACTAGATCCGCTGTCACAAAGCCGTCTTTCTTCTCGATACCGATGATACGCGGGGGCCAGAAGGGCTCAGTGTTTATGTCGGTGTTATTATTCCAGGAGAAAAATCCAAATTGGAACAAGTACTTCACAACTACCACCGCCTGAAAAATAACACAGATTACTTCAAACATATTTAATTGAATATCTCAATAAAAATTTGGAAACTGGCAAAGCCTATGCAGACACTCTTCTTGAAAAAGCAGGAATTACATAAAAAAAAACAAAAAAATTCCTTTCAGGGGAGGGAAAAAGAGAAGAATATTTAAGTAACAACTGCAATGGCACAAAATTTTGAAAACTAAATTTACATAAGAGTACCTTCCGTGTTATTTAGTTTCCAGAAGCTCACAGCCTAACAGAGAGTTACGAATTATAGAGACATAACTGGTAGAACATACTAATGATATAGCCCTACATTACCTCTGTGTAAGTGATGGCCGTGATCCAGAAAGTCTTGGAGGGGCGTGGCACTGAGAGCATGCCCCACAGGAACACCATGAGAGGGAGGGGTAGGGAGAGCAGACTGCAGTACAGGATCTGATTCAGAATCATCAGGAAGTAACAGACCAGCTCTGACCGCGACACCACGACATAGTAGGTCGCCTCCAGCAGCAGGAAGATCTTGTTCTTGTTTGTCTCAAACTTCGTGGAGGGTTTACCCTGTAATCCATCCACTGAATCTCTGACAGAGAGAAAGATACAATTAACAATACCATCAAGTCCATATTTTATTTGCAAGAAATTTTTTTACATAAAAACAGGATCGCATGATTGCAAAAAATTCATCTTGCTTATATTTTTTCATCTTGCTTATATTTTCATTCTTAAGGGCCCCGTGGGGATCCGGGTTAGAATAGGTCCTCAGTATCCCCTTGCTTGTCGTAAGAGGCGACTGGGGTGGTCCTTATATTTGTATTGACAAAAAAATAATTTTCTTAAAAATTTGTCTTGCTTATAAATTTCAAATGTCTCATGAAAATGGGGTCCTGCAACATAAAATGTTTGTTTAAAATCATAATTCAAAAGTAGACAAGAAATGAAAACTGTTTCCTTACCCTCCAAGATCCTCGGTGGTGACTACACTAATTTCTGTCACATCAACTTCACTTCTGCTGCAACAACAAAAACACACAGTGTATTGTAAGCTGCTTTTAAGTTACTTAATCTACTAAATATAAATACAAGGTTAACTGTGAATCAGACTACGGAAGCCCATTTAGGACCTATCAAAAATATTTTTGAATTCGTTATAACGATTTTTAGAATTCGTTATTACCAATTTAATTTGTTAAAACAGATTCATTGAATTCGTTAAAACGAATTTAATTTGTGATAATAGATTTTTTGAATATGTTATAACGAATTTAATTTGTTACAACAGATTCATTGAATTCGTTATAACGAATTTAATTTGTTATTACAGATTTATTGAATTCGTTATAACGAATTTAATCCAAGATTTGTTGAATTCGTTATAACAAAATTTTTGGTTGAACACACTCTGTAATCTCAGTCACATCAACTCCATCTCTGCTGCAAATTAAATTCATTATAACGAATTCAAAAACAAGAACAAATAATAACGCTGCTTAATAACAAATTAGTTCGTTATAACGATTCTACTGAACAAATTAAATTCGTTAAAACGAATTCTAAAAATCGTTATAACGAATTCAAAAATATTTTTTGATAGGTCCTAAATGGGCTTCCGTATCAGACAGAAGCTAGCATAATAAATCAATCTGATACCTGGCCCCTGTCGGCCCTGTGGTCCCGTCCTCCGGTATGTCTAGGCTGACTGTCTCATCCTTGACTTTAGGTCTGGCTTTGCTTCTCTGTGGAAAACAATGGAACAGGAGTAAATCAGAAGGATTCAATCCAAATAAAACTATCCTACTAGGACAAAGTCCTCCAAAGGAGCAAGTTAACATAGGTCACTCCTTAAAATAGCTTTAAAAATAACTGTCAACTTGCAAACTACTGAACACCATATGTACATATTCAAGCACTATAAAATACTTCAGTCTACAGATTATAAAAAAGTGTTAAAGATACAGGTTGGACAAAACACATACACAGACAGACAAATAGATTATAGTGATTTCAGTTTCATCATGTGTATACATGTATCTGTATTGTAAGAGAGTGAGAAATTGCGAGAGAGACCTGAATCCTCTGTTTATGAGACTGCCTCTCCCCAGAGTTTTTGAAATATTTTGGTCCTGTTGGCAAAACCGATAAAAGCAACCAAGGACTGAATAATTTCGTTCTGTGTCAGTCCAAATGACCTGTAAATGTTGACAAAGGAACTTGCCAAAAGAGAGATAGAGAGAGGGGCAGAGAGGAAGAGTTAACAGACCTGAATCCTCTGCTTCTGAGCTCTCATCTCACGCTCTAGTTCCGTAGCCACCAGGCGGTGGTTCTTGGAGATGTTGTTAAATTTGTATATCATCCAATCAGCCAACTCCTCCAGTAACTTCTGAATCAGTTTAAAGATGTACTTCACTTTTTCTAACTTAGATTCTAAAAATAAGAAAACTGAATTAAACAATGTTAACACATTTATAATCACATTTGGAAGTTACCGATAATGAACTAATTAATCTATTATGTCAAATCGTCCATGTAACTCTCATGATAAAGTGAAAAATCTTTTTCCAATGTTGACTTCAAAACAATGGTCATTGTAATCAATAAGGAACATAATTTTTTTTTTTGTTCATACCATCTTCTTCTTTCTTTTCTTCCTCTTTGATTGCTTCGTCTTGCTCACTATCTTCTTCCTAATAAAAATAAATTTACACAGTTTGAATATGTATTGTTTGCCAGTTACCTGGTACTTACAAACAAGAGTCAAGACATGATTTGTACAGGGGTCATTCACAGGAGCCTCCAATATTACAAATACAAATGGAAAGACAGGAGTACATTTAAAGGGAGATAACTGAGTAGTATTTTGCAGTTCTGTCCCTTTATTCACCGTGAGCTTACCTCGTCTTCAGCTTGTTCCACAGCAGCTTTAGGACCTGATTCTATGGCTGTGGATATCAACTACAAACACAAACAGAGCTAGCTTCAACAATCTACATTGTTACTCACTGCAAAACTGTCCTATAAATGATTACTACATCTGATTTCTTTCATTCACTTTCATAGAGTAATATTCCTCCACTGTTATGTAATTATCTGAGGACAGAGTTGTGATTTTTTTTTTTTACTTTGACAAGATAATATTTCTCTGTCGTAATGTAATTATCTGAGGACAAAGTTCTGCTTTTTTTTTACCTTGACAGGTTAATAATCCTAGAACCCAGTTCTGAATTTTTTTTACAGTAATTATCTGGGGACACAGTTCTGATTTTTCTACTGTAATTATCTGAGGACCCAGTTCTGATTTTTTTTTACTGTAATTATCTGAGGACCCAGTTCTGATTTTTTTACTGTAATTATCTGGGGACCCCGTTCTGATTTTTTTTGACTGTAATTATCTGGGGACCCAGTTCTGATTTTTTTACTGTAATTATCTGAGGACCCCGTTCTGATATTTTTTGACTGTAATAATCTGGGGACATAGTTCTGATTTTTTTTACTGTAATTATCTGAGGACCCAGTTCTGATTTTTTTACTGTAATTATCTGGGGATCCCGTTCTGATTTTTTTTACTATAATTATCTGGGGACACAGTTCTGATTTTTTTACTGTAATTATCTGGGGAACCCGTTCTGATTTTTTTTACTGTAATTATCTGGGGACACAGTTCTGATTTTTTTACTGTAATTATCTGGGGACACAGTTCTGATTTTTTTACTGTAATTATCTGAGGACCCCGTTTCTGATTTTTTTACTGTAATTATCTGAGGACCCAGTTCTGATTTTTTTACTGTTATTATCTGAGGACCCAGTTCTGATTTTTTTACTGTAATTATCTGAGGACCCAGTTCTGATTTTTTTACTGTAATTATCTGAGGACACAGTTCTGATTTTTTTTACTGTAATTATATAAGGACACAGTTCTGATTAATGTAATTATCTGAGGACCCAGTTCTGGGATTTATTTACCTTGATAGGGTCAGCCTTGTCCTTATCCTCTGACCCAGTTCTGATTTTTTTACTGTAATTATCTGAGGACCCAGTTCTGATTTTTTACTGTAATTATCTGAGGACCCCGTTCTGATTTTTTTACTGTAATTATCTGGGGACACAGTTCTGATTTTTTTTTACTGTAATTATCTGAGGACCCAGTTCTGATTTTTTTTACTGTAATTATATAAGGACACAGTTCTGATTTTTTACTGTAATTATATAAGGACACAGTTGTGATTACTTCACCTTGATAGGATCTGCCTTGTCCTTGTCCTCGTCTTCCTCAGAGTCTCCTCCGATGGTGATACTGGTCGGGTCCTCAGCATGGACGTCATCGTCCTCAAACAGGTAGTAGTCACCAGAACGGATCGCTACAATACAACAAACAGGTAGTAGTCACCAGAACGGATCTCTACAATACAACAAACAGGTAGTAGTCACCAGAACGGATCGCTACAATACAACAAACAGGTAGTAGTCTCCAGAACTGATTGCTACAATACAACAAACAGGTAGTAGTCACCAGAACGGATCGCTACAATACAACAAACAGGTAGTAGTCATCAGAACGGATCGCTACAATACAACAAACAGGTAACAGTCTCCGAAACGGATTGCTACAATACAACAAACAGGTAATAGTCACCAGAACGGATCGCTACAATACAACAAACAGGTAGTAGTCACCAGAACGGATCGCTACAATACAACAAACAGGTAGTAGTCACCAGAACGGATCGCTACAATACAACAAACAGGTAGTAGTCTCCAGAACGGATCGCTATAATACAACAAACAGGTAATGGTCTCCGGAACGGATTGCTACAATACAACAAACAGGTAGTAGTCACCAGAACGGATCGCTACAATACAACAAACAGGTAGTAGTCACCAGAACGGATCGCTACAATACAACAAACAGGTAGTAGTCTCCAGAACGGATCGCTATAATACAACAAACAGGTAATGGTCTCCGGAACGGATTGCTACAATACAACAAACAGGTAGTAGTCACCAGAACGGATCGCTACAATACAACAAACAGGTAGTAGTCTCCAGAACGGATCGCTATAATACAACAAACAGGTAATGGTCTCCGGAACGGATTGCTACAATACAACAAACAGGTAGTAGTCTGCGGAACAGATTGCTACAATACAACAAACAGGTAGTAGTCACCAGAACGGATCGCTACAATACAACAAACAGGTAGTAGTCACCAGAACGGATCGCTATAATACAACAAACACGTAGTAGTCACCAGAACGGATCGCTACAATACAACAAACAGGTAGTAGTCTCCAGAACGGATCGCTACAATACAACAAACAGGTAGTAGTCACCAGAACGGATCGCTACAATACAACAAACAGGTAGTAGTCACCAGAACGGATCGCTACAATACAACAAACAGGTAGTAGTCACCAGAACGGATGGCTACAATACAACAAACAGGTAGTAGTCACCAGAACGGATCGCTACAATACAACAAACAGGTAGTAGTCTCCAGAACGGATCGCTACAATACAACAAACAGGTAGTAGTCACCAGAACGGATCGCTACAATACAACAAACAGGTAGTAGTCACCAGAACGGATCGCTACAATACAACAAACAGGTAGTAGTCTCCAGAACGGATCGCTACAATACAACAAACAGGTAATGGTCTCCGGAACGGATTGCTACAATACAACAAACAGGTAGTAGTCTGCGGAACAGATTGCTACAATACAACAAACAGGTAGTAGTCACCAGAACGGATGGCTACAATACAACAAACAGGTAGTAGTCTCAGGAACAGATTGCTACAATACAACAAACAGGTAGTAGTCACCAGAACGGATCGCTACAATACAACAAACAGGTAGTAGTCTCAGGAACAGATTGCTACAATACAACAAACAGGTAGTAGTCTCCAGAACGGATTGCTACAATACAACAAACAGGTAGTAGTCACCAGAACGGATCACTATAATACAACAAACAGGTAGTAGTCTCCGGAACAGATCGCTTCAATACAATAAACAGGTAGTAGTCTCCGGAACGGATCGCTATAATACAACAAACAGGTAGTAGTCTCCGGAACGGATCGCTATAATACAATTATACAGACAATAACTTCACACTTTCATCTCATTTTTTTGATGAACTCCTCTTTAAAGAGGACATGATCCTTTATTTAATTAAGCTTGAATTTTTTTTATCTCAACAACACTTGATGGTAAGTTAGGTTGAAAATTGTCCAGAAGCTCTAAAGAATAAGTCAAAAATGTGAAAAGATAACAGATAAACAGACAGACAGATGACAGGTGATCAGATTAGCTCTCCTTAAGCCTTTGATTCAGGCGAGCCAAAATTTCATGTGTATATTTTCAATCTTTTCTATTCAACGTGAGAGGCACCGACATATGAATTTCCTTATTTACTTGCTTCTTGGAGATAAGCATTTTGTCCCAACTCTTTGAAAGTCAGTTTTACCTTGAAAATGTTCATCTGGTTCCAGGAAGTTTCTGGTGCTTCCTTGAAACTTTTTCTGCCGGAGAAACTCCATTTTCTTTTTGATATTCTCCAGGACTTTTCTCTCATCCTCTCTCTGTTCCTGGACTCGGGTTATCAGGATCTCATTGATAAGTTGAGCTCCCCTGTGAAAAACAAAATGAATGTAAATAGGAAATCTCTATAATTTCAAGGGGATTTGGGTTGATGAAATAAAATAAAATAAGGCTTTAGATATTTTTGGTAGAAACAGACTGAAAGATATACACATTACACAAAGTAATTCCAATGTGTCTGTTAAACTCGAAATCCAACACAAAAATGACGTATAATACAATACAGGTGTAGATTATAAGGCCTATAATGGTGAGTACCTGGCAGCTAGTGCATTCTGGGCTTCCGCGCTGGCCACGATGTGTCGGAAGTAGTGACTCTTGTAGATCCGTAATTGTAAGAGAAGAAACGTTAAACAAACCACGTCCCAGCTCAGTCCTGAATCGTCTATCTCCACCTTACACTCAAAACCACTGCCACCTGTAAAGCATACTGATTGGTCTTTATAAAGTTATAATTAGAGAGTTATTCCCTACACTCGTAATCTTGGTTGTTTTTCTAATTTATGCATTTAAAAACTGATGATCTATTTGTGGAGTGTGTTGTTTATGGCTGGAATACAGCAGTGCATGATTACGACAAGCGGAGATGTGAAAGATTGGGATAATTTCAGGAAGACTTATAGAAAGAACACTGTGCAAAGTATGGAATATATTTCTATCAATCATTTAAAATCAACTTAGTGCCCTGACAAGACTAATAAAAGTAACCAAATTTCAACAATTGTTAAAGAAGAACCTTTGACAACAAGAGAGAAGATCATAGCTCTTCTTTAAGTATAGGTCACCAGTGAAATGAAGTCTAAATTCATTCCAAAAAATTGTTCTAGAGTAATGGAAGGGAGGGGAAGAAGGGGTGGGGTGTGATTAATTACTGGTCAACAACTTAAACTTGACAAACAGGTCTTTATCAATCAAAATTGAAACACTGAAATTAAGCTCAATAGCTACAGACCCAAAGAATAAAATCTCTGTTTATAGTTTCCACAATCAAATCTAAGGCTATAATTCCACAAAATAAAAGCAAACAATGGTGAAATTCCTTGAAACTGAATAGCCTTTAGCTTTAATATGAACAAATAAAAGCTCTTTCAACTTTCACAGTGATTAGCCTAGCTCTGTTTAAGCAATAGTGAACTGCATTTTTTAAGACTATTTTTAACAAACCTTGATCAATAATAGTGAACTCTGCTGCAAAATATCAATAATCATTAATAAAGTTAACTTTTTAAAAAAAAAACATAAAATGATCTGGTCATTTCAAACAAAAACATCAACAAACACAAGCTAGCTCTTTACATTATTTTCTGTGTAGCATTTATATTTTAGCAAGTTTTACTTCTGAAAAACAAGAGACCCATTGGCCAAGGTGGAGAAACTCCACGGGGACTAAGACCATCAAATACACATTTGTTTTATTTCCTTTGTCCTTAGATGCTATGCTAGAAAATTAGTTAAAATGGGTTCTGCATTAGAATTCTTTTTTAAAAAAAAATTATTTTGTTTTTTTAAAAAAATGCACTATTATGATGAAAACCAGTTAGTGTATCTGTCACTTTTACCTAGAGTTGGGTATTGCGAAGGAAAACCATATTGCGATATATTGCAATATTTTACTTTGAATATTGCAATATATTGCAATATATTGTAGATTAATTATCATTAATAAATTTGAGCAGAATGTTTGAAATGCTGTCAAGTTCAAAGACTATTTGAATTTATCTTTAAGTTTAAAAGCGGGAGGAGGGACAAGAAATTGATTGCACACCAAATTAACACTTTACTTTTAATCAAATTCCAGGTAAAATAGTAAAATAAGATGAACTCTCTTGGAGAATTTTCACATTGAAATAAAAATTTTTACAGATTATATAATCTTTTTTCATTGAATTTTTTTTTGGGGGGGGGGGGTAATGAAGTAGCATAAAATGTTATTAAAGATTAAAACAATATACATTTTAGGCCTATATGAAAATAATTTTATTGTGGTTACAAAATAGAATTTAAAAACCAGAAAGAAATTGTGACCTCTTTTCGTGCGTTTTGGTAATTTAGTCTAACCCGACCTAATTTCACATCAAGACGTACAATCAGGAAATGGTCTGTTTAATACATACATGCTCCTGCTATAGCATAAGGTGTTTAAAATGGCATGAAAGTTATTAAAATTAATTAAAACAACACTGCTACAAGTGAAAACATGGATGACCATTTACTTGTAATATGTACATGTATACTGAACTTGACATTTCACCGCGATGTCGATCGTGTAGATTCAATGTGAGATTTTGAGAACCGCAATGCATATGGTATGCACCCTGTAAAATGTTTTATATATTTTCTTCCTTATAAATTTTATTTTAAAGTCTTATTGATTAGAAATTTTATTTCAAAGTAAGATATTCAAAACTGCAACAGTGAATTAAAAGCTTCCACCCCCTCTCTCTCTCCTCTCTCTTTCTCTCTCCCGAACGAAACTGACCAACGAGAAAGACAAAGACTTAGAAGTTTCCAGTTTTATTTTAACAGTTTCTATAATAAAGGAGGTTTTTATATATTTTTATAAATATCGTGAAATACCGGTATCTGATTTTCATATCGCGATATATTATCGTGGTGGATAATACCGCAATATACCGATATACCGGTAATATTGCACACCCCTACTTTTATCACTCAAGTGTCATAAAATTCTAAACAGATAAAGACAACTCCTTTTAAGATTTTTAGACAATTACCTGGTGAATACATGATGGAGGGAGATAGACAGGTGAGTCCCAGCAGCTGAACCAACCAGCAGTGATTGTTGTACAGGTAGTCAATGTAAACACAGCCCAGCAGCTAAATAAAATTAATCATCAGTTACATCTATTAAAAGCAACAAAACTCTGACAACTAATTTTGATTTTTTTTTTTGTAAGCATTGAATGTTCTTCTGTGCCACAAACACGCTTTGCTCTTACAGCATGTATAGAGAATGCTGGTTAGCTGTACCTGTAACGAAGCCTTCAGGAATATCACAATGACTGTGTAGCCCAGGAATGTGTTCCAGCTGCAAGGAAAATTTAAAAATAAGAAAGCCTGCATGACACATGAGTTTTCATGAGATTCAAGACAACAATCTTAAATTAACATTGATCGAATGTTCCCTATTTTTATTAAATACATGTAGTGATGTTTTAATACTTTATATGTAGACACTATGACAGTAGTGTGTACCTTCTTCTGATCTTTCTGAGTGGTTTTAGAATGAATTCCTGTCCGTACCACATGAAACACAGAGCCCCGATGATGTAGCCCATGCTGAACAGGTTGATTCGATTGGTGCCGGCCAGAAAGATGATGAACAGGGTCACCCAGTACATGTACGAAAAGAAACCGCTCTTAACGACGTCCAGGTAGGATCTAAAAATAGAACAAAAACATCAGTTTTCAGATACTTCTTAGGGTACTTGAATAAAACAACTACATCTACAACATCAAAATTTGGAAGGAGGCAGCAAAAAAAAAAAAACAAAACAAAAGAAAAAAATTATCTAATTTGGCTATGTAACATTTAAGTGTTAATTTGTTAATATTTTTGTATATTACATGCACATATTTAGCTGTTTCCTTTTAAAACACATGTGTCATGCAAATTTACAACAGAATTTTTCAACAAAATTGGACAACAAGGAGATATAAGGCTTAGCCGCTATTAAAATGTCAATTTAAACAAATGTAATCCTTTGTGTTCATATAACGTAAAATAACTAACTTGTCCTCAATAACATATAACTACAAATGCAAAAAAAAGATTCATGTACTGTGGAATAACTATTTTTCTTGGGGGGTATTTTTTTCCATCTCAAATATCTAAAGTCTTAGAAATAAGTGACTTTACAATACTGTAGTAATGCACTCTAGTGCACATTTTCAAATGTATTTGACTCTTGGGTATGTTGAAAGTGAACTACATGTAGTATAAAAATCATCAATACATTATTATGTACTCTGTACAAATCATTGGAATGGAATTGTGCAGGTTTTAATCAAACGAAGAAAAGTAAGATCTCAAAAGACATCACACATAAGAAACACACATGTAACAGTAAAACACACTTGGACATAAACTGTGTTGAAATAGGGCTTGCTTTTTTACCATTTTTAAAAGCTCTCATTATTAGATATTGAAATCTGGAACATTGCCAAGCCTGGCTGCTTCATAAACTTGACCCTGATGGCTGAAATAGGGTTGGATACCAAAGATCTTAATCATTTTCAAAAAAAATCACTTTGTTTCCTTCTGATAGATGTACAGTAAAACTTCGTTACAAAGAACTTAGTCGTAAAGAAATCTTGGTTTAAAGGAAATCTATTTATAAAAAAACCCCACAGGACTATGTATGTCTTTTATAGAGAGAAACTCAGATAAAGGGAGGCAATTATCTATGTAAAAGGTGAAGAAAAATGAACAGTAACTGGTCTGAAATGAAGAAGGTATAAAAAAGGACCCCTAGAAATTCTAGAGATTGGGATCAGGTGCCTAGGAGGAGTGAGCATCCCCTGTTGACCGGTAACATACCAAGGATTCAAAGGTGCCCAAGTAAATTTATACATAAGTAATTATGTATCCTTAGCTATTCAAAACTAAATTAATAAATATACATAGATTAACACTGGCTAACATGAAGTTGGCATCAACAGTATGTTAAAACATACTGCATCATTTGATAAATAATACTGTAGAAGTACTTTTTTCCACGTGGTTTTAATTTATGCTATGTACGGGGTTACAATTTTTCCGCGGAAATTTGTCCAAGCGTACTTAATATAAATGTAATGCATATGGTGACAGTCTAAGAAATCCACGTAATTTTCTACCCGCGGATTAAACAGAAATTGAAATTCCGCGGAATTATGACCCCGTGGAAAAAAGTACGTCTACAGTAATGGTATCCAACCCTGAAGCTGTATGGACAAAGATATCAGACAATTAGGCTAAATCACACTCCATGTAATACGTACCTCCTATGGCTGTGTTTGCACAAGTTTTATAAGAATACATTTCATTAATGTTTGGTTATTTAACAACAAAAATCCCACTCCCTACATTGCTAATTACACATATACAAAAAGACATTACAAAAGCAATAACTTATTAAATTAAAAAATAAATTGTGTCCTTTAATCCCTGACAAACTGATTATGACAAAGACAGAATCAATATAAGCATACAGCACCAGCATTTTTAGACAGGTTTGACCTCTAAATATAAGTCTTACGCACACAAACAGAATAGATAAAAGCATACAGTACAAGTACATGTATTTATAGACAGATTTAACATTTGTGTATGAGTGATACTTACTCCCTGACAGTGGTAAAGTCAGCGACAGGGATAGGCAGGTTGGCCTCCACTTCTGGCAGTATATCCTCATTACTACCTCCCCCATACCTCGCTTCTGAATCCTTGTGGAACTGAGCCTCAGTTCTAAACACCTGTCCCTGTAGACACACAAACAGCAGCAGGAAAAAGTCCCCTACAACAGCACAGAATACTTGTAAAACAAAACTTTACATTATAAACACGTGTCCCTGTAGACACACAAACAGCAGCAGGAAGAAGTCCCCTACAACAGCACGGAATACTTGTAAAACAAAACTTTACATTATAAACACGTGTCCCTGTAGACACACAAACAGCAGCAGGAAGAAGTCCCCTACAACAGCACGGAATACTTGTAAAACAAAACTTTACATTATAAACACGTGTCCCTGTAGACACACAAACAGCAGCAGGGAGAAGTCCCCTACAACAGCACGGAATACTTGTAAAACAAAACTTTACATTATAAACACGTGTCCCTGTAGACACACAAACAGCAGCAGGGAGAAGTCCCCTACAACAGCACGGAATACTTGTAAAACAAAACTTTACATTATAAACACGTGTCCCTGTAGACACACAAACAGCAGCAGGGAGAAGTCCCCTACAACAGCACAGAATACTTGTAAAACAAAACTTTACATTATAAACATGTGTCCCTGTAGACACACAAACAGCAGCAGGGAGAAGTCCCCTACAACAGCACGGAATACTTAACAAAACTGAATTTAGGTCCTTATATTTATCTAGCAATACATGGTGATACTACATATAACGATACCTCATAGAATAGGTTCTTTCTATCTGAATGTCATTATTTCTTTTCAATGGTAAAATTTAATAAGCTATATATACATTTGTGGTATCTCTCCATTATATAAACATACAGAGAGAAAATATCTTCAATTCTGTATGAAGTTTGTCAGAGGTCAGAGGTCAATACGTGACCTAATCACATGGCGCAATAATATCTACCGGTACATAAATTATAAAATGACGTGCTCTACTTGCTTTACAGGAAAAAAATGAATAAAATAAGCAAGTAAAATAATAATTATTTTATTTTAAATGTAAACAATTATTTCATACAGTTTTTGGGCTATCGATTCGATCTGTGTACATAGAGAAAACTAGGAGCCTAGCGTTTGTTTACATTTTTCTTCACTTTTGTCAGCTGCACAGTCTCTAACGTTCATCCTTATTTTTTGGATAGACCTTTGGTTAAGTTTTCATGATAAACTTTTATTTTATCTTTAAATTTTACTCACGATAAATGTGTAAATCTGTTGGAAAATATCCAGCAGTTTGCAGTCATGCCATGAACAGCTGCCAAACACCTCGGCGTTTTCGTAGTTCAATGTAAAGCTGTCGCCAGTGTCCCCGTGTTTATCAGTGTTTTACGATAAGTATGCCTTTGGTTACTGAAACCGTGGAATGTTTTTGATCAAATTGCAAATTAACTGGCTCGGATAAGTGTCTCAATCCATCGGATCCATCCATCCCTTTCCAGCGACCGAAATTCCTCCAACTTTTTATTATCAAACTTCGGACGTGTTTCATGTGTCTTTTCAGCATCGATTATCATTTTTCACGAATAAAATATTCTCAGACAACAATCTGTTCACTATTACTGATCACAAGTAGCCTTTCACAAATGTTCCCTTCGAAATAGATTCCTTAGCCTAATGAATTCAAAGCGTAACAGCCATGCAAGCCGATTTACACCTTGCGTCATTTTTCAAAATCTACGACGGACGGTTAGTGCAATAATTTAAATTCGAAAATATTCAATTGTCTGTCTCAAATGTATATATAAGTAATAAATAACAAGTTTATAAACTTCAATGGGAATTGAAGTGGGTCGGTACGTGATCAAATCTTATGAGAAGGCCTTCGGCCTTCACAGGATTTGATCACGTGACTAAAAATCAATTCCCATTGAAGTTTATAAACTTGTTATTTATTTCTTAATTATAACACTTACCTGGAAAATGTAAAACTGTGAAATCAATATTATTGTGAGCTTAATTTTTTTTTCATAGTTTGAAGATACTGCAGAATCTTCATTGTTTGTGGTGGACCAATATTCGATATTTAAACAAGAGGCCCAGGGGCCACAGCGCTCACCTGAGCACATCAGGCTTGAATTTACTCCCACCCACCCCTCCAGGCGTTCATCATTTGATCAAACTAGAATCTACACTACCTGAGGATGATTCCATATAAATATCACTAATCATAGCTTTGAAGTACTTGTAAAGAAGATTTTAAAAGGTCTTCCTATATATCCCTATGTAAAACTTGGGTCGGCCATTTTGGCCCCACCCTAGCCCCGGGGGTCATGATTTGAACAAACTTAAATCTCCTCTACCGGAGGATGATTCCACATGAGTTTTATCTTTCCTGGCCCAGTGGTTCTGGAGAAGAAGATTTTTAAAGATTTTTCCTATATATTCCTATGTAAAACTTTGGTCGGCCATTTTGGCCCCACCCTTGCCCCAGGGGTCATGATTTGAACAAACTTGAATCTACACTACCTGAGGATGATTCCACATGAGTTTCATTTTTCCTGTCCTAGTGGTTCTGGAGAAGAATATTTTTAAAGATTTTTCCTATATATTCCTATGTAAAACTTGGGTCGGCCATTTTGGCCCCATCTTTGCCCCGGGGGTCATGATTTGAACAAACTTAAATCTCCTCTACCTGAGGATGATTCCACATGAGTTTCATCTTTCCTGGCCCAGTGGTTCTGGAGAAGACGATTTTTAAAGATTTTTCCTATATATTCCTATGTAAAACTTGGGGCCGCCATTTTGGCCCCACCCTTGCCCAGGGGGTCATGATTTGAGCAAACTTGAATCTACACTACCTGAAGATGCTTTCAAATAAATATGATCAATTATGGCTTTGTTATTCTTGAGAGGAAGATTTTAAAAGATTTTTCTTATATATTCCTATGTAAAACTAGGGTCGGCCATTTTGGCCCCACCCTTGCCCCGGGGGTCATGATTTGAACAAACTTGAATCCACACTACCTGAGGATGATTCCACATGAGTTTCATCTTTCCTGGCCCAGCGGTTCTGGAGAAGAAGATTTTTTTAAAATGCCATTAATTTTTAACAAATTCATAATTATCTCCCCTTGGAAAAGGGCGTGGCCCTTCATTTGAACAAACTTGAATCCCCTTCACCCAAGGATACTTTGTACCAAGTTTGGTTGAAATTGGCCCAGTGGTTCTTGAGAAGAAGATGAAAATGTGAAAAGTTTACGACGACAACAACGACGACAACGACAACGACGACAGACAACGGACAAATTTTGATCAGAAAAGCTCACTTGAGCCTTCGGCTCAGGTGAGCTAACAAGTAAGCACAGAATTACGTTCCCATGAACAGTAAAATTTTCCTTGCCCAAGAACATTGATGCCAAAAATTGAAATGATTCCACATTAACAGCAAATTTGTATCCTCCAAGAAATAAACTCAAACTACTGTATCATACAAAATAAAATCCCCAAGAATGAATATTTTTTTCCTCAAACAATGAAAAATTTAATCCTTGAAAACAAGCATTCTGAAGCAAAATTTTTGTTCAGAAAACTGATTTATGTCTCTGAGTTTGAAATTTTATTCAATATTATTGTTTTTTTTAAGGATATACGATCCTCAGCCAGGAAGGATAACTCTTTAATTTTTAATTTAATTCAAAAAGTCTTAAAATAAAGCTTGAAATTGAAATTTTTTCATGCAACAATTTTCATTTTATGCCTGTACGTGTGATTCAATGTTCTTTAAAGTTTTAACAAACGGTATTAAAAAAGTTGACATTTGTACCTCATAAAATTAAGTAAAACTTGCATATTTTAAAAAAAACAAATTTCTTTTAATTTAACCTTAGTTACCAATGTTTATAAGCATGATTTGAAATTAGAAGTGATTTACGGTGTTTTCTTTGAAAGGAAACACTTCATACACTATGCATTATGAAACAATGGAAGTAAGTAGGAGAAAGTTAAGTCCAAATAAGTGTAAAATTCATGCAGTTTTCTTTAAAAGCCTGGATACCTATGATTTTTATTCCTAATATGTATTTCTTGATCAATTATCAATTCAAAAATATGCAGAAGGTAGTTCAAATCGCATTTCCTGAAAAATTATTTGAGATTTTCAAATTTTCCCTATATAATATGATTAAATTTGAAGATGAAGTTTAAAGAAACACCGTGGGTAAATACATTTTAATTTGAGAATTTAGAGACATCTTTGTGGGCATTTTCAATTACTCAAAGCCTGATTTTCAGAACCTGAGGATCGGATAACCTTAATAGTGTTTTTTTACAGGTACAATCATGCTATGATTAACATCTGAGCTTATACAATTTGGGTTTTTGTTTACTTTGTTTCTGATTCATGTACCTATATGTTTTATCCACATTTAGTGGATTTTGTATTTTGTTTTGAATTATTTACCTATAAGCTTATACACATTTGGTGGGTTGAAGTAATTTGGAAGGTACAACCAATTTTCCAAGTTCTTCTCTGTTTCTGTGTCAAAATTCCATGGATACTCTGTAACCATCATAATATACAGAAGTTAACAATAATTAAATCAACTCCCAACTGCACAACTGCAGTTGGATTTTTCAGATAACACTACAGTAAAACTTGGTTATAATGAAGTCACTGGGACCTGTGAAATTACTTCGCTATATCTATAATTCGTTATATCTGTATAAGGAATTCTTTAAATTTATGTAGCTGGGGATCCAAGATAACTTCGCTATATCTGTGAATTCGCAATATCCGTGTTCGTACTAAACGAGTTTAACTGTATTCACTCACAAATCAATTCTTTCATGCATCATTTTTTTTTTTACAAAAATTTACAGATCATTTATTATTTGGTCTTACTGACAGAGAAATTTGAAATTTTCTGAAATATTCAATGTTCTTGTTCATAAAAAAATTAAAACCTAAAACCATAATCTTTTACTTCGCACTTTTTTCAGTTTTTAAATCACAGAATGTATGTGATAAAATATTACCTATACAGGCACCAGGTGGGAACCCCAAACAGAACACGTACTGCACAGGTAACAGTACTGTGAGTACGATGGTGAATATCGGCCAGACAATGGCGTTCTTGTGTCGATTCAGTAGCAGCAATATACCTAAGAAGATGGCGTACAAAACACTGTAGGCATCCACCCGCACACAGATCACTATAGCCATCATAATGTAACAGATCTGAAAATGTTAACAAGTCCATGTATAGACTTACATGTAACTAATTCAATTTATACAACAGAATAAAATACAATGTTAGACACACAGCAATGAGAAAAAAAATTACATCTTCTCCTTTCTGGGAACGATTACATTTCACCTCATATAATTTTTGATTCCTAAATCCTTTCAATGAATATTGTATTTAAATTTTCCTACTCTTTTTTTTCACCATACACAAGAAAACAAACCTCTAATCCAAATTTATAGAAGAAGTAGTTGGCAAAATACTTGGCACAGCTGAGGAGGTTTTTGTCAGCGTTTTCCCGGTGGGTGTCATTAAATATAACCCCCTTAGGAATGTCTGCAATCCCAGTATAGAGCCGTCTCCTTGTCTGTCTGTAGAAAATCACACGCTCAAAAATCAGCACCACCAGAATCAAGATGTAGTTCTGAAAAATAAATCACTCGCTCAAAAATCAGCACCACTAGTATCAAGATGTAGTTCTGAAAAAATAAATCACTCGCTCAAAAATCAGCACCACTAGAATCAAAATGTAGTTCTGAAAAATAAATCACTGGCTCAAAAATCAGCACCATTAGAATCAAGATGTAGTTCTGAAAAATAAATCACTCGCTCAAAAATCAGCACCACTAGTATCAAGAAGTAGTTATGAAAAAATAAATCATTCGCTCAAAAATCAGCACCTCTAGTATCAAGATGTAGTTCTGAAAAATAAATCACTCGCTCAAAAACCAGCACCACTAGAATCAAGATGTAGTTCAGAAAAGGCCAATTTACATTCAGAGATAATAAAATGAGAGGCCTATGGGATACAATGGAATGTGAGTCTCTCTGTTTTTTCATCTTTCTGTCTGCCAATTGAATGTGTAATGGTAAATCCTTTCAGACCATTACTATGTCAGTCCATGATGAAATATGTCTCAAACTTGGTATTTTCATATTGTTGGATGTATATGTAATTTTTGTTGGATATACCAAAAATTATATGTTCATTAATATAAATAAGGATAACTTATAAGTGACAGATCTGTAGGATTTCTCCTAACCTTGAGATAAGAAGAGAATTCCCCGGCTTTGTCCAGGCCGACCCATACAGCGTTGTTTACTGTTCCATTACCAAACGGATCCAAAGTTGACGGCACAAGTTCATACATGTATATAGATGTATTACTGCCATTAGTCGGAGGAGGTACTGTTGTATTTATGCTATCTTTGATGATCTAAAAATCACAGAATCAGAACTTCAATACATAATAAACACATAGAAATAATTCACAAAAATTAAAATTAAATCTTATACAGAGATAAATTAAATTGATATGACAATATTGTATATGTTTGTATACTGTATACAGGGAAATTTTCACCCCGTTTTATTTTTGCCTCTTTCGCCTTATCTTCATTTGGGCGAATTTAAAACGAGGTGAATTAAAAAAAGTACAGTATAATTTCTTAAACAAAACCAAGACTGGGCGAATTTACAACTGGGCAAAAATATTTGCATGTATGAAAGGGCGAAAATAACACAGGCCCTATACAGTGCTGTGAAATCACAAATTTTTGTTCTTTTTGAGGTATGAAGAGACCCACAAATTCATGTCCACCAGGAAATGTTAAATGTTACATACATAACTACTCAACAATATGTCATCCACGAAATCAAATCCCAATGAACCAAGAGTTTTTCCTCAAACCACAAAAATTTGAACCCACAAAAATATGTAATTTTACAGTACATGGTAATAGACTCTGTCTTGACTTACTGTGCAGTTGGAGTTCCAGTATTCCTTATCAATGATGCTGAGCTGATAAATCATCTTGGCCACCATCGCAATAGCTGTCCAAAGTCTGCACAGGTGTAACATGAGCGTCCAGCCCCGGATTATTGGCATTAAGATCCCCAGGAGAATGACAAACACCCCTCCGATGGCAGATACCTACAAATACACTAATCACTGAAAGAAACCCATACAAATAAGAATTTAAAACAACTGTTCTCAATAAACTTTTGCCTAATTATTTCAGATCTGAAAATTCTATAGACTGCAGTGTTGGCTAAATAAATGCCGGCAAATCTCATATACATGTATATTTTGTTTTACGATGAGACAGAGATTAACTGAGATATTATCTTGCTTGTTTTTGTCTTGTTTTACTACAAGACTGACATGAACTGAGACATTACCTCACTCACGCTGACCATGAAGATGGTGAAGAGAACCAGTTTAACAAAGTGGACCTCGAGGGTCCTCCACAGAACCGTAGACACCACCGCCCACACCTCGCTACACTTAGTCCACACCGCGATCGTGTGTGATTTTAACTTCTCTTTCAACCCTGATTGAAAAAAACAATCCTGAGTCATAGGAAGTAGTTCTATTAATTTGATATTAAGGATATACATTAGGCAGAACAACACTGAATCTATGTTTGAAATAGAAACACCTGTAGCATTTATTTTTTTTCTGATAAAAATGTTGCTTTCAAAGATTTTAGAGTCAGACATTGAGACTGACTGTAACTGACCCTTTTTAATGATGGAAGGTTCGGAGTCAGTTGTCTCCCCTGCTGTGTCTGTTGTCACAGCTTCTGATGGTTTATCATCTGTCTCCTCTGTTCTGTGAGACATACAACAAATCTTGTGAACACATCAGGGTTAACATTAGGGTAAAAGATACTAACTTACTTATAAGTTACAGCAGTGAGATTTTAACTTGACCTGTAATTTTTATAGCAGTGAGATACCAAATTGACTCATTATTTATAAAAGTAAGATACTGACATGACTTGAAGATTACAGTAGTGAGATACTAACTTGACTCAGCAAAGAGATACTAACTTGACATGTTTGATGTCGCTGAGTTTGAGGAAGGTGCTGTGGAAGTAATGGACCTGTAGTATGATGAGAATCAGGAAACTGGTGGGGGTCAGCAGCTTCACAAACAGGGTGGCCGTGTCAAACTGCTCCAGGCCGATGTCTGATAAACTACAAACAGAATGACAGATCATTAGGATCAATAAAGTATCAGTAAACTATCAGTAAGCTAGAGTCAGAGACAAACAGGGTGGCCGTGTCAAACTGCTCCAGGCCGATGTCTGACAAACTGAAAACAGAGAGACAAGTCATTAAGATCAGTAAGCTATCAGTAAGCTAGGGTCGGAGACAAACAGGGTGGCCGTGTCAAACTGCTCCAGGCTGACGTCTGATAAACTGAAAACAGAAAAAAAAATTCTAAACTAACCTATAATATTGTCAGTGTTGAATGTTAGAAGCCTTTGACACCATACTTCTTCCTTCATTGTGCTTTAAATGTATAATAATCCTGACAAAGCCTATTGGATGGCTCAATATATATCAACAATATGCCCTTAGACTGTGTATACTTACACTTGGTATGTCAGTCCTGTGATGTTTTATTGTATGATGCTAGTCAGTCTGTACTTACACTTGGTATGACAGTCCTGTGTTGTTGTACTGACTGTGAGTACTTACACTTGGTATGACAGTCCTGTGTTGTTGTGCCAGTATTCTGGGAAGTCTTTGAACTGGTAAGTGTAGACAATCACGAGGATGATCATAGAGTAGACAATAAGGACCCACCAGAACACGTACATAGAGGCCCGCCACAGGGTGTAGCTCATCTGGGGGGAAAAAATAACAACTGTCATGTATATAGAAAAGTTAGACACAACAACAGTAATCACTATACATTTTTATCCTGCAACTACCCCTTGCATTGACCTAATAAAGGTAACCTAATAAACCAAAGCTTTATCCAGTCACTGCCCTAATAAAGTCTCGTGCATCTATTCCGATGTTCTAAAAGCATTGTGACGTCACATATATTGCAATGTTTACGCCATGGTGTCATAGTTTCAACTGCAGAGATGTGCCTAAATCTGTCGAAAATAGCTAGTTTTGGGCGTTCAAATGTAAAAAATATGTTGCAGGATAAACAAAATACATGATAACTGTCTTGAAATATAGATTTTTGGGCTCGGTGAAAACGTAAGAGTGTCACGTTTTCTTACCCTCACCCAAATATCACTTATATTTCAAGACAGTAACCATGTATTTTATATATCTTGATAATTCTGATGATTAAGAAATATCCACCTCCACCTTAAAAGATTATTTCATCAAAATATTGTATACCAACATATTGAAATGTACATGGGAGATCAACATAAAGAGAAGATTTGCCTCCCTTGACTGACCTGTATTATTGATGACATGTACTGGAGGGAAGATTTGCCTCCCTTTATGGAGTTGTATTATCTAATAAGTACCTGGACAGTCAATATAAAGAGATTTGCTTCCCTTGATTAGACCTATATTTTATGATACGTACCTGGAAGGTCAACATAAAGAGAAGAAAGAGGACGAGGTAGATGATTCTGAAGACGACGACTTCGTAAATAGAGATGAGTAACATCATCCCCGTACACACAAAGATCCAGTACTTAGACAGGAGGTTCCACAGGTACTGACCTACAAAAACACAGGTAGAAGTATAAGACAGGTACAATACAAGTAAACAGTAGCTACACACAAATTAATTAAAACGGACCTGTGATAAGCATTAATTAAACTAGAACTGTCCAAACGGGACAAAATACCCCCGCTGGGTTTTTCAGAAATAAGTTTTTCCATAAGAAAGATATGTATCAAACATGAATTATGAAATTTTTTTTCAAGTGACCTTGAAGTTCCCCAAATGACCTTGAGTCAAGGTCATGACACATCCTTGGGTCAGGGCAATCTTTGAGTGAAATGAGATCCTACCAAGTATATCCATAAGAAAGATATTAACCGGACACGAATAATGAATTTTTTCTTCTAGTGACCTTGAAGTTCCCCAAATGACCTTAGGTCAAGGTCAAGACACACCCTTGGGTCATGGGCAATCTTTGCGTGAAATGAGAATCTACCAAGTATATCCATAAGAAAAATATGGACTGGACACGAATTATGAAATTTTTCTTTCAGTGACCTTGAACTTCCCCAAATGACCTTAAAAGTTAAGGTCATGACACATATTGGGTCATGGGCAATCTTTGTGTGAAATGAGATTTGCCTCCCTTTATGGAGTTTATCCATAAGAAAGATATGAACCGGACAAGAATTATGAAATTTTTCTTCCAGTGACCTTGAACTTCCCCAAATGACCTTGGGTCAAGGTCATGACAAACCCTTGGGTTATGGGCAATTTTTGTGTGAAATGAGAACCTACCAAGTTTATCATAAGAAAGATATGGACCGGACACGAATTATGAAATTTTTCTTTCAGTGACCTTGAACTTCCCCAAATGACCTTGGGTCAAGGTCAGGACACACCCTTGGGTCATGGGCTCTTTGTGTGAAATGACAAACTACCAAGTTTATCCATAAGAAAGATATGGACCGGACCTTTATGAAATTTTTCTTCCAGTGACCTTGAACTTCCCCAAATGACCTTGGGTCAATCATACACACCCTTGGGTCATGGGCAATCTTTGTGTGAAATGAGAACCTACCAAGTTTATCCATAAGAGAAGAAATAGGACAAGGTAGATGATTATGAAATTTTTCTTCCAGTGACCTTGAACTTCCCCAAATGACCTTGGGTCAAGGTCATCCCCGACACACAAAGGTCATGGGCAATCTTTGTGTGGAGTAGTAGATTCTAATGTCCCTACAAAACACAGGTAGGATTATAAGACAGGTACAATACAGGTAAACAGTAGCTACACACAAATTAATTAAAATGGACCTGTGATAAGCATTAATTAAATTAATTAAAATCTTATACAGTAATCATAATATACTTTTATTTTGAATAAATATAAAAAAGAAACCTCTTTAATGTAGTGGAAAATAAAGATAAAATTTTGAATTTGAAGATAGCTTCTCAATGAAGTCAATCCAAATGGATGTGAACCACTGCAAAATTGTTAAATATCAGCCTTCACTTGAAGTAAAGCATAAATATATGTGTTTTGTTAGACCCTGTCATACTACACTGTATTTTTATTATTGTATGTAATTTTTTTATTCACAGCCACTCAGGAAACTATGGTTAGTAAAGGCAGAATATATAGAGTTGCAAGTTTTACCAATTGTTTTAACTGCATCAGAATGACCTATAGAAAAAAATTTAAATGGCATGTGGTTTTTCTAAACTGACATGAAAAATTTAGCTTTATCATATCTATGTGTGTCATATTTAACAAGGTTTTAGGTGGATATTAAATTTATTGGTCAGTAATGTGTTACTACGTCCCATCAAACATTACCCCCACTACATATAGTTACTTTTTATTCAAAGCATACATTTCTTTAGAAATGGCAATGATAGTTCAATTTCCACATCAACTAAAACATTGACTACTTTTGCTACAAAGTCTCTACATTCAAATATAAAAGCAAGTGTTATGTTCTTCTGAGTAGTGACCATTTTCACAGAGAAGGCAAGACCCAAAACTTGTTATTTTGAAAGCTGTTGTACATGCTTGAGAACTATAAATAATGCTGAAACAATATATCACTGTTGTCTGTGCATACCTGTCTGTTTGACTGTGTGACTGTCATATCCATCAACCTCATCCAAATTTGGAATGTCTACATGCAAAAAAAGTGGTACAACATCAAAGCCCAGGGGGAAAAATTAAAAAAGAAACAAACAAGCAAACAAAAAGAAATAAATAAGCATCATTAAACCAGCTAAAATCTAAATATCACAATGATAATTTCCTAGTCCATGCATTAAAAAAAGTAAATAATAGCAGAAATGATCTATTCCAATTTAAGAAACAAAGTAAAATTCACCAAAATATGCTAAAGTTACAAAGAAACTGAAAACAAAGGTTCAACACTGAAAATCTGACATACACTGACAACTGTTATGTATGATTGTATACCATCATGCAAAAGAAAAAAAAAGTGTGTATTGATATATTTAAGAAGTTTGAAATTCAATGATTATAGTATGAATATAGCATTTTCCAACAATTTAAGTGTAAAACATGGGTGAAATATAAAGCAGTTCAAAGATTTAAGTATACATAAAGTACTTCTTTCATCCCCTGATTCACTTTTTTTTCATTACTGAAGCCGGATTGTATTAAAATTCAAATTAATTAGTTACCAAGTCCAATTTCTGATGTGTTTCCTTCAATTCATCATATAAATTGAAATGTACATTTGTTTTTTTTAATTTTGACTTTGCAGCATAATTAATTTCACACGTGTAATTCAACATGGACAATACAAAACAAAAACATGCAGAAGCTGTTTTTGTTATATGTAAATTCCAAATCCAATTTCCTACACCATTTCAATGTTAGTGTCTTACACGCTCCTGACTGAGTTATGTCCCTTACACCCTCCTCCTGATCAGAGAATTCCCGCAGCCTTATCCAGCCTTCTGTGTGATAATTCTTAATGTTAACATTACACTAACTGTCACAACTATTATTAAATTAGTTTCAACTTTTCACCCCCACAAACCTGTTACATCACATTTCCAATCACCAAACATTGCATTAAAAGGGCCATTCTAGTAAATATTGTCAAGGGAAGGTGAAAAACGACTTTTGGGGGTCATATTTTTGAGGGCTGTTGATATTTTCTTTATTCCCAGTTCTATGACTTTATGACTTAATTCATTTAGGATAGGGAATATCTGTCATATGCTTTGAGATACAAAGTAATAGATGAAGATAATGTTATGAAAAAAATATAATCATTGGAGTAAGTGTGGTAAATAATGGGCACTACAATGAAAAATTGGGAAGTTGACAATAATAAAATTCTCTTCTATTAGTGGAAATATTTAATAGTTAAAAAAAAAGGTGACAGTGACCTCCCTTGAACAATATTTACCACTATAGCCTTCTATTTAGGCCAAAAAAAATTAATAAATAGTTTCTCAGGCCAAAAAAATCTAAATCCAATGCGGCAGGCAGGCTTTTTTTTTTATTTGTTTTGTTTTGGAAGCAGGTTTTAAACCTTCTTTAAGTCATTTGTTGAATAAAATGATAATAATCTACTAATTCTTAGTTTTTGTTCTCTGAAATCAGTTATAATATGTATTCAACTCTAAATAATGTTACACACAAAAGTTAATATAAAATACTATAAATTTACACAGTTAAATAAACTGATTTTCTTATTCAACTTGGAAAAATAGAAAATTGAGTTATTTCCCTTTTCATATGTCAATAAAATTGATCAATGCGGCCGTTTTTGAACTGATGCGGTGGTGCCTGAGAAACTATTGATTAATTTTTTTTGGCCTTATAAAGCCTTTGTCCTACTTTCTGGACACACAGTAATATTTAAATAAACAGCATAATGTCTCTCTAAAACCATAAATAACAACAGAATAAAAGAGGAATTTTACAACATCTACAACATCAGAACTGCTACACGGATGATATACTTACGGAACCACGACCCGCGGGGAGCCTCCTCGGAGTTGATGGTGTCCAGTGGTACCTGAGTTCTGTCCGGTTTCTTCAGGAGCCGCCTCTCTCGGATGAACTGTCTCATCGTCAGCCAAAACATACTGGTGAACAGGATCTGGACAAAATAAAAACTAAATTATGCTGCTGCTTTATAAAATATCACTCAATAGGCGAATGTTCAATTCGATAAATCTATATTCTGGATTTTATAAGGTATTTTCTTATTTGTAAGATTTCTTCAGGATATTCCTTTATATTAATGAGATTCTCCAAAAGCACAATTATGGAGTGCTTTCAACAATTTAAATTACAGATAATATAAAATTTAGCTTTCCAAACATTAAATTAAATATACATATATATACTTGTAATGCCAGTTGTAGACAGGGATATTTGAATTTCTTGAGTCCGATCTCAGCCAGCTGGATTCCGTTGCTTTCCTCCGGTAGTTCCTTGAGATTCATGCCGTACACAAACTGTATGATGAGGAGGGCCTCCCCGTAGAAGACAATGAGGGGGGAGCAGAGGAGACACGCCCGCCGGGACTGGGGGACCATCCAGATAAAGCAGGCTGCCAACAGCAGGACAAAGGTCATCCAACTGTGATACGTGATACTCCACGCCTACAAAACAAGAGGATTTCCATCATCATCATCATTACATTTATAAAGTATTCATTAACTCCGAGGTCTCTTCTGTAAATTTCTATCATAGCAAATATTTATGAAAATCTTTGTTTTATTATCAGGTGTGACATAGAAAGTATTTACTCCACACCAACATTTCAGCATATAACAACTTTAACAACATAAACTTAAAATTAGATTTTGTGAGCTTTTTTAAAAAATCCAACATTTCAGCATATAATTAACAACTTTAAAATAAGAACATAGTAAATACATGTATATGCAGACCCCATGTTATGCTAATAACATTATTTCCCCCATTAGGTGAGGACTAAAGGGTGATATGGCACTATTTTTTAAATTCTTGTGGATTTTATTTTAAGCAGAGCATACTCTGTTTGAGAGTTTATATTAAGGGTAAATACAACCTACCATCATTGCAATCAGGGACAAGACATAACTTTGTTTCATAATGAATACAAACAGGGAGGCCACCGGGTTTCTCTTGACGTTAGCTTTCTTCTTCCTGGGTTTGGATTTGGTTGATCCACCATCCTCCTCATCAGAATCCAGCATGGTGGGAGAATCCGTCTTGTCCCGAGGCTGTGAGGTCGAGGAGAATGTCTCATAAGACTGGTTCTCTCCCTCCACAACCAGGCTCTTTCAACAAATCAAGGAGTTAAAGAGGTCAGAATTTAGAGTACCCATTTAACTAAAGCTAATTAGGATAATATATAACTAATCATTTATTAAAACCTACAAATCTACAAAGAAAATATTGTTTTAACCTCATAATAACCGTCCATTTTTATAACAATTCTTTATGTATTTGTAGACTTTGTAGAGGTTCTGAAGAAATCATTTACAAATTCTGATACAAAGAATATGAAGAATCATATCTTCAGTTGCTATGGCAATAGTGGCCATTTTGAATGTTGCATACACAACTTCACTCCGTGATTATTAAAGACTAGTGCCCAGCTCAAGCTATAAATAGCAGTCAATGTTTCTCTAAACCTTAATAATCCGACTTTTTACAATACACCAAATACATATTCATTCAAGCTTTTAGGGGAAAGTATGATATAATAAACCTTGTCTTCATGCATGTTCTTAACAGAAAAATACAAAAAGAAATAAAACACTTATGAATGTAACAAACAATTGCAGGTATATCTGATAATCTGAGATAAAAGGCTAAGTGCAGGCATGCATTTTAAGAGTGCAAAGAAGAAAATAAATTTAAACTTGCATTTTCTCCATTAACCTGACAAAGGAATTTGCCTTGAAATTACTGAACACATTAAATCTCTCATGCAATGAAACAAAACAACATCCAAAGACAACAAGTTTTCAAATGACTTAAGATCTGTAACAAAAAGAAACAAGCCATTTATAAACGTCAGAATTCTGAGATAGCTGTTGAGAAAGACCATATCATACATTTATTTCAAAAGTTGTGAAATTTAGGCTATAAACCAAAGAATGCAAATAAATTTCTTATTATTAAAATTATATAGAAATGTTTTGGTGGAATTTCATTCTATGTGTGTCGCTTTTTGTTTTCAGTTTAAATTTCTTGTTTCTCAACATTTTGCCATGCAAAAAATAAAGTTAAAAGCTTTTTTCTACAAAATATAACAGCCAAAAATTAATTTAAAATACATAACACATACATTATTGATGATAACAGTGCAAAAAGCTATTGGTTGCCCTTCCTGGGTATAACATAGGGTATTTGTAAATACATTTATAATTTAGGAATATTAACAAATACAAAGCCATATACATAATAAACATGTAGATGATATTTACTGTGACCATAAACTAAAAGCGTTAGTAATTTTTTATTAAACATAAATTATTGTCAGTTAGAACTGAAGCTGATTTACCTTCTGCACATACAAGAATTCCTAAGTCCTAACCATGCTTTCAAAAACACAACAGTGTACAAACAAAGCAAATGACTCAATAAGCATTAGTGGGGCCAAATCTTTGATTACTCTGTATAAAGATTATCTAAATGAATTATTTAAAGTTAAACCACTGTTTTTTCATTGCTTTTTGCTTGTCATTACCAATAAAAATTGTGCTGTATTTTTGATACATTAACAAAATATACCAAAACAAAAATCAAACATAATACAACGTTGATTTTTCATAAAATTCCACCAAACCTCGTTTTGACCTTCGAGTTAAACCAACTTTCATTTCTTTGCCATTTTTGAAACAACATGCAAAGCCATGCACACATGAGAATAGGTTGAACATCAAAAAGCCCATCTAGGACACATGAACAAATTACTGTAAATATAGAAAAGTTTCGTGATATTTGTGGAAATATCTAACATTTAGATTTTTTGTTTGACAATATTAAAGAAGAAATTGATAATACAAAAATATACAATGCTTCCCATCGTCATATAATTATTAAAATTATAGATCAACACATTTTCGTAAACATAAACATTTATTGTGTCGAAGTTGAAGTTTTTCCATTTGATTAAATAGACCATGTTAGCCAAAATTTAAACCAACATGTTTTGTTACCTTCGGAGCACGGTTAACCAACATTGTAACGTCAAAGACAACGTTGAGAAAGTTTGTTAAAATTATACTAATTTTCTTAATTTCAAACACGGTTTGTAGCGTCTTCTTCATTCAAAAAAACATATCCATAACACTTAACACCTAGTTTGCGAACAATTGTACAAATATAGCTTGAATAAGAATGTCATTGTTTTCAAATTCTTTAATTTACCATGTGACTCTATTAATTCTGCAACAGTGAAGCATCATCACGTTCTGACGTATCTTTTGACAAGATTTTTAACTTTAACATGTTTCTTTGCAAAGCCATGCACACAAAAATTGTATTTTCAATTTAATACAAATAGACATATTATTTTTCATACAGATCCTGGTTTATACGGATTTTTTAAGCTTGTAGAAGAAGTTTTCTGAATGTAAAGTACAATTTTATTGCTCATCTAGGACACATATGTATTAACAATCTTTTAAATACTGATTTCATTTTAATTAATTCAGCAATACTTTATTTTGTAAATTTTATTTCGTGATTTATTAGAGGTATGGCTGTAATCTATAAAGTGAAAATTAGTAAATTACTGGATTTTTTTTGCTGTTCTAAATCCTTAATTTTAAAAATATACTTTTTTTTTACTCAAATTATTTGAATCTGTTGTTAAAATATTTATACCGAAATTGGATATAATATGACGTTATAAAATATTAGGACAAATCTCACATTTTGATATTTTCTATATTAAAGATATCATAATATTTTTTTACAAAAGCATTTTGCATTTAAATTACACATACTTTCACAAAGATTTCAATGTTTACAGTAAATAACACATTTCTAAAAATCTCATGCACAAATCTATGTTTAAAACAAGAAAACACACATTTTATTTTATAAAAACCATCAAGCATGATGATGAATATTAAGAAATGAATTGCCTTAAATACAGTGCTTATTCTTATAGAAAATGGCCAAGTTTTCAGCCCTGGGGTGTAATTGCATACCTCTGATCCTCTCCAAATCCTGGTCTCTGTGGCCACACTGAAGTAAAGGGCAACAAGAAGGGCCGGGTTAACAAACAAAGGCCAGTTTGACGGCTCGTGGAACTCAACAGACCAGGGTTTGTCACAATCCGTTTTGATTACAGCTGTTAAGCCAAGTAGTCTAAAAGGAAGCAAAAATCATGTTGTTCATATAAAAATTATTTCTTTACGCATCATTTTTTCTATGAACTTATCTAGAATTTCAAAGCATGTGTACTATCTGAGCAAGGGAAATAATCATTCTATTAAGCAATGAAGTAATATATGATACATTTAAATCTTTTCTACTTTTATTACAATGGCCTCTAATTTAAGGAGACATTTTTTTTAGCTTTCCGTATTATACCTGGCCACTAGAGATGTTCTTGATGGTAGCCAGTCCTCTTGGAAAAGTTGCATTTGATATAAATGAAGAAAAGCTAAATGTAATCCACTCCATATTAAAACACAGATTCGGAAAATGGTAAATTTATGTCCGAGTCCCCGATAAAATGACCACCAGGTGGCGATAAATAGAAATGATATAAAATACACAGCACTGGCAACCGATGGCACAATAATACCGCAGGCTGCTAAAAATAGAACGTCGATGAAATTCCCGACAAACTGTAGGAAGCTCTGTAGTCTCTGAGACCGTCTCCTCTGGGAGCCTGACTGTATGGACGGGAGGTCCTCGGGGGACAGCGAGTCTCGGGAGGGACTGAACACTTTATAACAGTACACAAACACAATAATGGCCACAGCCAGGACCACCACGTCCAGCACAGCCAACCGCAGGACGTGGATAAAGGGAACTCCATCCAGTCTGTAAATATAATAACCCGATTATACGGTACTCAGAAATATTAATTCTAATATAGTAAAATAATAAAATCCCGATTTTATTTTGCGAATTCGATGTCGATTTTCAAAATTTTGAACTACCACTGCTTTGTTTACATTTTCTTATTAATTTATTTTTAATATTTTTGCGAGTAAATAAAAATTTAATATTTACGTTACTCAGAAATCTGGTGTCAATTAGTATTCTCTTTTTACTGCCTGAATGGTACTTCAAAATCACAGTTTTTATTTTTTATTGCCAACAGAGCATTATTTCAAAATCATTAAATTTACAGTACCAAAACTTTTTTCAAGACAAATAAAAATATTTAATGTGCTACTGAATTGCAAATTTTGACTTTTGCCATGTCCTCAAGTAAATACTACGTAAGTATTTTGTTTTTGAAACTAAGATGTAACATAAATATGTTGATCTATTTTATTTTTCTATCTTGGTGGTGCATTAATATATAATTCTGGCATAATTTATTAAGGACCCTCTCTACACAAGTGAAAAATTTTTTTTGGATATTGAGAAAAATATATTGTATAAAGGAGTTAATATTGAGCTTATTTATTTAATTTTCACTGTATGGTGCGTGGCATTTACCCCCGGGAAAAATGTTCAAAGACAACACAGTATCACTGAATAGAAATCACTGTTAATTACTTCAGTAGAGAAAATACATGTAAATAACGTGTTCAGTTAATTTATCTTGGCCTATTATACCACTGATTTTCATCTGATTATTAAGTTCGAACAGAAAATGTTCCTGTTGGATTAAAAGCAGGTTCCATTAGACCATGTCCTCCTTTCCTTCTGTCCATTAATAAATTCTCTTTCAAATATTACACATATAAGGTCTATTTCTGGCTCCACCACTACCAGTTCTTTATAATTATTAGCAACTATTTCTAATATTTATTCAAATCAATTCAGCCTTTATCATAATATTGAGATTAACCATAGCAACATCTTGTACACACTACCTACCTTTCAACTGCTATCAATCTAGCGATTTTTTCATTACTTGAACCTGTGGTATACAAAAGTAAATAAGTATTAACAAAAATAAATAAGTATTCAAAACAGCCACATCATCATGTATGGAAAAATACCATATTTATACCATACATACTTATTTGAAATAAATATGGAAGTTGAAACATACATTTATCAAGTTTATAAGAAAATTAAAAGGAGCTGAGAGGAAACGAGAGAATTAGGCGAGTTTACTACTTTTTATTTGATTTTCAGGGGTTAGCGCGAACGCAGACCCCTACACTAAAAAATTACGTGCCCGAGTAACCCGCATTTGGGGTTATCGCAGACTTCAGCCAAACCGGAGTGCAATGGTAAGGCCTCGATCTGGGGGAACCACCTTGCTGATCATGGTATCCCCTGCACCAGGTAAGTATGATTTCAACAGGCCGGGGAAAACCCCTTATAGTCCGACAAACACACATTACTGCAGGTAACAGTAATTAGCAAGGGCCACACTTAGTTCTGATAAATACCTTCATTAGTTCTCAATTTTAAAGTTTAATAAATTGCTAGACTCAAAGAACAGTGTTTAATTTTAATAGTTGAATGTAATTTTTGTTAAAAAATCTGTTTTTATATTTTTAATTAATATTTTAATGAAAATATCCAGAATTGTATGAGCTTAAGGTAAGTATGACTTATCTCCCGTGTCTGTGCGGTGAAGCGTACTTGTCATTATTGGCTGAGTGGGAAATGCCTCAAGCTGTTTGCGTTAAGATAACAGGTTATAGGGCCTTGTGATAAACACTAAATAAAGTCTGTGTGTGAATAATACATCATATAAATATCTTTTTTAACTTTCCAGCTGATGAGCGTGTACATTTATAATAATACAAAGAATGTGAAAATATATTTAGTAAATTGGTGTCTACCTATACGAAATATTTTGTTTTCTTTAACAATGGAGATTAATTCACATGTGTATCTGGCTTATGTAAATAAGCTCCTCTATAAATTGCTGCTCTATACAATGTTACCCTTACAGTCAAGAAAATTATAAGAATATGTAATCAACTTTCATTTCTCTAATATATTATAAAGCAATATGTTCTATATTCCTTCTATTATTGATATGACATTAATCAATTCACATACAGACGTCCCATTAATATGCTCTGTGTTTTTAGGTGGGGAATGTTTATACATTAATTAGTTTAGAGTCATGTAGAAAACCACAGCTTTAGTATAAAGGGATTAATCCATTACAAGATCATCTGATATGTCCCTTAATATGTTCTGTGTGTTTGAGTGTGTGTATGGTAAAAAAAGTGGGGAGTTGTTATTCAACATTAATATAATTAGTTTAGAGACAATGATCAATTAAAGCCACAGTTAGCTGTATGAGTATTGATAAAATCTTTATTTATGCAACTGAAAGGACTATCCTCCAAATCATCCATAAAATACACTAGTAGGCTTTGAAATGTCATTAAATGTGACATTCCACACTTTGACTCTGTGTATAATTGAAGCAGTCTTTACTCACAGTTAGGAAAGCTTTCACCATACGTCCCTGGGATGGCTGCTAGAACAATGTGGAAAATACCCTGGGTTAGGGTCGCCAAGCCCCCCAGCACAATCAGTAGTATTAAGTAGATACCAGTCACTCCTAAAACAAATACGGGAAGAATTTAGTACATGTAATAATTTACACCATTAAAGCATATCTAATTAGATTCATTTATAATAAACTTCTAGCAATTAAGCAACTGTAGAGTCTCCAAATTATAAAATCAATTGACATCATTGACCTTTTCAATTAGTAAAATATTTCAAAATTCTTTTCAATATTCGGTTGCAGTATTATGGAACAATTTACCTTTAAAAGTAAGAATGTCTCCATCACTTCAAAATTTTAAAATCAAGTCAAGAAAATTTATAATAGACCAACGTTCAACTTAAATTATCATATAATTGTATATCTGTGAACTGTATCATTAATGAAATAATTAATGCATGTATTATTTATTGTATGTTGTGTCATATATAACATTGTTCAATGTACTATTTATCATTGTGTATTATATATGTATTTTCATAGAGGGCCTCAAGGAAGAATAGTGCTCGCACTAATTGAGTCACCCTCTTTAAATAAAGTATTATTATTATTATTAGTAGTACGAGGGGTGTTAGAAAAGTTCGCGGACAAGTTTTATTGTGAGCGCGCTATTTCCACGAAACCGGTCAAACTTTGCAGATAAAATCTTTACCTTTTTTCCAATTAATATACAAGAATTTGTTGCTCTCCGATGATTATTGAAAAATATACAGCTTTTCTATTTTGATAAATCTTGCTTCACGGAGCATGCTACATTTTGGCACGTTTACATCACAAAGACTCTTTATTAAAATTAAAAATTGCACAATTGTACCGCAAAGAGTTTTATGATATTTTACCTGCCGCTATAGTATTCATGAAACGTCACTGGGAAAAATTTTGAACTAAATTGGAGGGTATATGACTGTTTTATAGCCGTTTTTAACTGATCAACGCTTAAAAACACAGCCAAAAATCGGAACGTCATTTAGCGTCATGGAGCACTGCACTATGTAAAAATTATGTATGCAGACTGGAAAATGTCTAAAAAGAGATTAAAATGTTCAAGATGCTGCCGGGAATTTCCTACACCTACAAAGGACAAGTTTTCAAATGGTTGTAGCTTCATAAGAATGGAAGGATTAACATTTTGAATGATTACCTCCATCGATACTTCAATACCCCCGTATCGCATGGACGTTGCGTTGCGCCTATATGGTTTTGCATAGTTTCCATACCTGATCGATTAACTGCATAGACTTTTTTAAAGATCTCAATAATATCCGAATCAGTACAAAAGACATTATATAAAAGAAAAGTAATATGTCTTGATACAGATATTCAATTTTAAAGTAGAAAATAGATAAGATAAATCTGAAGAAATGAAAGATTTATAGAACTTTACCGGTTGAAATCGGGTTGTCACGTCGCCTTACGTCAAGTGATTGCTCCGTGAATTCCATGACCTCATAGTTAAAATCGTTTTCAAGATTTTATTATATGGACCTGATTTTTTACATACCAATAAACAAAATGTAGGAATTTATTCAGACATAGGTCATACTTCACAGTACAAAATACATTTTCCGTAATTCAAAGTGTCCGCGAACTTTTCTAACGACCCTCGTAGTAGTAAATATAATTATCAACTTATTATAATTATATTGGCCACATATTGACTAAATACTTTTCACTGCGCCTGGTCATAAAATGAAATATAGAGTATACGTGTGTCAAGTCCTTATAGTTCAGGTACATCAATGTAAAATTTGCATTCAAAATTGAAAAAGTGCAGGGCTATACATGTTTGTTTAGAAAAGAAATACAGCTGAATTATTGATGATAAATAATCTCAGTGGTCTGGTCCACTTCAGCTTAATGAAATCCCCTCTCTGATGAACTAATGACTACAATCTATAAACCAAGGCAGACAGGCCTCCAATTAACCAGAGGCCAAACCTAGATTAGGCTCATAATGCATTTATAATTACATAAACTCCTGCTCTGTGTTTGTTATTATAATGTTACTTCTTTTCTAGCTCTATTGAAACTGGTGATCCTCTATATTTTTATTCCAGTTTTATTGGTACACTTGCAAGAAACCAAGGTTACCAATTAAGACTGCTATTTGCACTTTCTGGAACAAACAGTATGTACATGTGTTTAGGTAAAAACATATTTGTATTGATCCTACTAACAGTTGCACCACCTCACAGTTATGTAAAGTTATACATCTGTTGTCATGAAATCAGTAGTACAGACACAGGCAGCTGCTGCCATTAAAGTCAGCAGGACCGGGAATATGTCACATTCCTGATTTGTCAGAGCTATTACCAAGTTCAGACACAGATGGGAGCCAAGATTTCCCAGGAAGAATTACATAAATTCTGAGAGCACACATAGAGTCTGTTGAACTATTTTTAGGATGCATTAACTCATTTGTTAAAACTAGCTGATTTATATTTTTATGATTCATTAAGGAAGTACTGTAGTGTATGTTAAAATTTATCAAGTGTTAGATAAGTGCATGTGCATGTATGAAATCAAAAACAATTCTATAGTTCTTGATCTATGCCACACAATCAAAGGAAAAAATAACAGTAAGTTTACCATGTTTACTGTAAATAAATATATATGTTTTTAACATGTTTACTTTAGTATGAAACATTTTGAAATGTTTGCAGTTTATACATGTAGTTCAATAAATCTAAAGACTCTTATTAACAAGATGAAAAATAAATTAAGTTAAAATGTGATGTAAAACAATTCTACTAAATTTTCCTCATATGAATATACGCCCATGTGTTACACCATTTAGTCATGCCGTATGTTAATTCTGTAATTCTTTTTGACAAATAAATAAATCCACAGAGTGATCGAAATATGAAATATTCATTGAATGATACAGGCTGTGGAGACAATTAAGGGTTATTAGTTAAAGATTTAACAAACTTTCAAATAAATAAATAAATAAATGAAGAAAAAAACTTTCCATGGTCAATAAATTTACTGGAGCACATAGTACCATGGGACATAATAGCAAGGATATATGCCTGTGAGAGGGTGATTTCTCAGGCAACAACATTTAATATTAAGTATCGGGAGATGGAAACAGCTGGAGAATTACCAACATCAAAGACTCTACAGCCCTGAACCTCTACAGGAGGCTTAAGATTTTAAATTAGATTCAAAACAAGTTCTGCAACCATGGGAATCTGGTCGTTAATAATTCTTCATATATATATATAGGGCACAATCCTGAGATCATTAGATGTTCAATTCATCCCATGGTCAATTCTCTAATATCATCTGTGATCAAATGTTTATTTCTCTGATATCATCAGATCTTTTTTCTCTGATATAATCAGATGCATGTTTATATTTCTCTGATATCATCATATTATGTTTATTTCTCTAATATCATCATATATTTATTTCTCTCCTATCATCATATGTTTATTACTCTGAAATCATCAAAATAATGTTTATTTCCCTGATATTGTCAGATGTAATTCCTTTCTCTATCCTCAGACCTTCATTTCTTTTGTATCATAAGAGTTTTATTTGTCTGGTATCTTCATATTCTCACTTTATTTTTGTTTCTTAAGTTCAAGATTTAGTAAATAACTTAAGACTAATTTTTTGGTGCTAGATCCATTATGACGTCATAATCAATTTCAACTTTCTTTTTCCTGTACTTTACAGCTTTAGCAGAATTATGTAGAAAATAGGGTATTTTCATGACATTCAATTTGAAATCATATGAAATGTAAACCAGATACCTATATTAAATTTGATATTGATTTAAAGAAGAGGCTATGAACATACTAATTACCGTTTTCTGAGAGACTGTAGGCAATCTGGATACATTTCCTTTGTCGAATATGAAAAAAACTCCCATACTCATGACTGATTTTCTTACTTTTTTCATTGAAAATGACATTTTAAAATACAGTTTTTCATCTTGTTTACCTACAAATTATGCCCCGAAACACATTATCTGACCAAGCTAAAGTTGTAAAGCATCAATAAAGGAATTTATTTCTCAATTTGATAAATCTGTAGGCACCTTTCATTTACTAGTTCTTGACCTAAAGATGATGATATAACTGTTGTAGTGGCAGCGACTATTATCATAGTCTTAAGGGTTTGAATGACACCACTACTATGTCTAGATTGGTCATATTGTTATATATCAAGGACATTATTAAGGTCATATTGTTATACATCAAGGAAATTCAGGAAAAATCCTGAACTTTGATGATGCATGTGTATATCATATAGGTCAAAGTTTTGTTTCAGGATATTAGGAATCAAATTAGAAACCCTATTCATGGAAGTATCAAATACTATATGTCAGGTAATTTTCTGTGCTAAAAATGAACCCAATAAAATATTGCATAATAAAGATTTGTATGACTAATTTTGTGGCTTATGAAGTGCAAAGAACTCATATATTCTTTTGATGCTTATATATTCTTAATCAACTTGAGTCAAAATGTTATAATCTCTTTATCTATTTATCTAGTAGTTTGATGGAAGTGATGTCAACAACACAGGAAATACAAGTATTTTATTAGGAATTTAGGGGAAAATTGTATAGTGTAAATACTTCCTGAAAATGTACTGAATCTGATAAACCATATTTTAACTATTAGATTTAATCATAATGCATGATTAAGATATCGGTATACATGTACCATTACTGCACAGTTTTTAAAGTTCGATAGATGAACAAGCATTTTCAAAATACGACATAGCAAATTACTAGTATTGTATTTCTTTCTCCTACATGTCCTAATTTGTAAAATATTCAAGGTCGTTTCTCCTGACCATGACTTTAATCTCTTTGATTCAAGATATATCTTTGGATTAGAGAGGAAAGATGATGCACATGTTTTTTTCATATCACTGACAGAATTTATCACATTGGGAAAAATGGACAAAGTAGATAGAGGATAGATGGGACGTGTCTGAATAGCTCACCTTTTACTGTTTTGGAACTTGGAGTTGGAATTAATGGAAGGCCCAGTAAGAATAGTAAATACAGGAATGAAATGATGTTGTATCTCAGAGCGCATCCTGGAATCAAAAAGTAAAATTATAGGAGACGCATCTGATAATATATTGTACAACATAACTGACCAGTTAGTTGTGTTGATTCTGGCATCTATAACAATGAATTTTATGCAATAGTTAAGGAATCTGGATAGGGCCACGCACTTCACTAGCGCACCATCGAGCATCAACTTAAAGGTCGATGGCGCGATAATGCGATGGCGCGATAACGATGAAACGGTGGTGCGATAAATGAAGCGATAGCGCGATGACGATGATGCTATGGAGCGATAATGCGATGGCGATGGTGCGATAGCACGATTGAGCGATAGTGAATATCGCTTCATCGTCATTGTACTATCGCACCATCGTCATCGCATCATCGTGTCATCACTATCGCACCATCGCATCATCGTACCATCGCGTCATCGCACCATCGTCATCGCATTGTCGCGCCATAGCATCATCGTCATCGCGTTATAGCACCATCACAGGGATTTATCAGTACTTTCTCAGGGGCCGAAATTCGGCCCCATTCCCAATTGAAAATGAGTTCAATTTTTCCCAATTTGGCAGTAATTTTTCCCAATTGCAGAACAATGCTTTTTTATTAGATTACCTTGGAAAAAACACAAAGTAAATTTGCCAGATTGTCTGTATTTTACTCAATTTAACTCATTTAGCAAAGCTACAGTCATAACACACGTTTAAAAACATCGCCAACTTTTAATCCGAATTTCCTCAGTTTTTTTCTGAAGTAGTGATATTGAGTAATTCTATAGGTTTATTAACTCATGTTCACTTACTCAATTGATCTACGAGTGAATGGTAAGAACTGTAGGCATTATTTCAGATAGAAAAATATTTTTTAATGCACATTTTAGAAAATGTGTATGCAGTATAATTTTTTGCAGGTTTATATAGCTCCCATGACCTAAATTGGAATCTCATTCACAAGTATAATACCCTACATTGTAAAATGATTAATACTAATTGAATTCAAATTTACTTTCATTAGTCTATTATTCATAATTTTAAAGCAACATACTTATTTCTCCCAATTTATTTTCCCAATTTCATCAAAAAACCGATAACTTTTTCCCAATTTCCAAAAAATGGCATTTCCCAAAATAGGCTGATAAATCCCTGCATCACTTCATCGCTATCGCACCATCGCCTCATCGTCATCGCATTACCTCTTCATCGCACTATCGACCTAAACCTCGATGGTGCGATGATGCGATAGTGAACTGCGTGGCCTTATCCGGATTCCATAAATAGTTGTTGTGAATTACCTGCTAGTAGAACCAATGGCAGTAGAAGTCTAAACAGGAGGTAGCCCAGATATCGTGTCACTTTTGAAGACATTATCTGTAGGAAACAGAGTCAAAAATACACTTACTGTCATATCACGGAACACAAATGACTCACTGTGGAAATTAAACTGATCCTCAAATATTGAGAAAAACTATGAGCAATATCAATAGAATGATAGTGCCCATTTCCAAATCAAAAATCACAAATTAACAGTGCCAGTAAGAATGTGTATGTATCTGCATATTCAATCATTTCCCCACTATTTGGTACATGTACCTTGGACTTAGGTCAAGGAATAAGTGTAAATAAATATTGTTTTAATACACTTATAAAATAACTGTACATCCATCTTTCTGAACATTCAGATTTCAGAAATGGGCACTGCACTTTAAATTTATAAATACGTGACGATTTAACACTGTCATTGACATTTGAGAATAACAAACAATCCTGTCGAAGTTCAGTTCATAGTAAAATATAAAAATCTTGTCATTAATGACCAATAAATAAATATGTACGCCTTTTCTGTTAAGACAGCAACCTGTTTTAGTGATTTGTGTGAATAATTACAACGATCATCCCTCATGTGACTCAATTTTTCTCAAGGCTGCGAACATGAAACAAACGCACTCAACAAAATTGTACACATATTACCTATTATGCCAAGAAAATCCATATGAATATCACATTGTGAGATTTTTTCTCGGTGTTCGCATTCAACTCTACGCGTTTGTCAGTTTTCGCATCATCTGCTGCTCAGTGTCAATCGCAACATCTCGGATATTTCCGAGTTTTTCCGGAGAGGTATCAAGATAACTCGTACAATAGAGAAGTCGTATACCGAGAAAATAACTACATGTTTCTTTGAAAAGACAGTTACTAGAATAACTAGATAGTGGATGACTTTCAGAGTTTCATACTAATAACTTCTCATACCAATATCACATAGATCCGTGTTTTTGAGGAGGGGTCACCGTTTTCGGGGGAGGGTCCAAGGTCACTTGTACTTGGTTTAGTATATACCGGGGGTATATACATTATTTTAATAACTCACTGACCCCCCTCCCCCTTAGATCGGCTAATGTTGTTTTGGAACACGTTATGAATGCAAACATATCAAATGAGAGACATAGAGCCCACAAGCAGGTGATATGATTTTTTCGCAAAACAAAATTTTAGGATTTTTTTTTTTCAAGACCTTCACGTTCACTTTATCACAAATTTGTTTCATATTTGGATATTTTACTTGAAAAAGACGTTAATGGTAATCTAACAACCGAGCTCTATAATAAAAGTGATGAATATAATTTTTTCTACCGACAACTTCCCTTCCTTAAATGCAACAACATACCTTCATCACGGTGACACCTACATACAACAGAGTTTATATATCTCAGTTGATTCGATACGCATACTCTACGTATGAACATGTTCTAAAACGAGTTAAATTATTGACAAATAAGTTGAAGAAACAAGAATATCAGCAGACTGGTTTAAAGTCATCATTTCGTAGGTTCTATGGTCGATACAATGACATTGTCGGGCTGTCAGCCTATACAATTTTATCATTGAGTCAAATGCTGACTAACGTTTTTCACACTTATTATTAGTCTATTATTTAGACGATTGATTTTTACGTTATTTCCCGATTATGACGGCGGATGTGACCGGCGGCCGGCAGGGGATATTCACTCCTCCATGGCACCTTATCCTACCTCTGATGTTTTGGGTCCGTGTTTGCTCTGCTCATATCCATTTTGTATTGTTTGATGGACTTTGAACTTGAACACTGTTCGTTATTTCCACATGTTTTATCATATATGTTTCATCATATATAGATTTGTTGTTAGGTTATCAGATTGTTACGTATATTCCTAGTAAAATATCCAAACATAAAACTTTTAATTCAAGCTCTCTTGGAAACATCGAGTCGACATTTGAATGGAAGAAGGCAGCTATTGAAGTTCACAGTAAGTGTTTTGACTTCTCATGTATGCATGCATGATAAAGAATAACTCTTTCTGTTTCATACGATCACTATAACTACAAAAATAGGTCTGCTCAAAATGGGGCCCAATTGGTTCCCATGGTAATTCCAACAGATTGTTGAAAAACCTTCATGGTTTAAGAAAAAATACATGCATGTATTTTGAATTTGTAATGTGTATGTTCTATAACATCACACTAAATGTATTTTTTAAATGTTCAACTGATTGAGCAATATATTTATAAATATGAATTAGCGATATTGAACATTGGGTTTTTCTTTCTGTTAAACTTCTTTTTTCAGGGAAATACATACAAAATTAGTATTAGAATTATGAACAAGAACATTTTTGCTTTATTGGGTCAAAAACCTGACGCTATATACCGGTTGCTTGCACTTTCAGGAAAAATCTAAGAAGGGAAAACATTCGGAGAAAATAATTCTTTGTTCTAACACCCCTCCTCCCCCGCCCCACTTCTCTTGTTTTGTTGTTTGGTCGATAAATGTGCAATTTATAAAATTATTTATTAAAATTTAGTAAAAATCTTTTTTTTTGTTTCTCTTTGGTCTTCTGAGAAAATTTTGCCAGTGTACGAATTAACATTTACCGTCGTCGTCGGAAGTAGAGTTGGGAGCAAGTTTGTTGTCTGACGTCTTGGCGTCAGACAGTACTAGATTTAACCAGGGCTTATTTATGCAGTCGTTCCATTAATTGTTTAGATAGTTCGATGGGGGAAATTTCGATACGTGCATAATCTCCGAAGACGCATGCCGTTCGGCCAAGGAGGAAATGCGCTTTTAATCTTATATTTACTTAACTGAGCACGTGGTCAAATATATTCTCTTAGTTGCCCTGCTCCCACTATAGTAAAAAAAACTCCAATCCAGCGATTATATTTTAGACGATTACACGTAACTTAGTTTGCGTCTTCTTGTTTCTTTTCCTACAGACTTCAGAAATACACCCATCAATTAACAGCAGGGGAATGGTCATCATGTGTAAAGCCCTGCTTAGAATGTTATCGCTGTTTATACGCGCCGGCCATTAAGTGATCAAACAAAGATCTTTCCATTGATATCATTTACAAACATTTTATTTTGTTTGTTGAATATAATAAAGAGATCAGTAAGGTCATTTAACATACAAAACATTACTTAAACTATGCAAGAGCTTAAATTTAATGTTATAGTTATATCATGGCATTTCATAAAATAGTTTAAAATTAAACTGAACTTGAGTAATTGAAAAATATATTCATAGATTACAAAATAATTTCAATTGACGTTATGTAGTCTGAACTTCATTGTTGGAAATAATATTTCATTTGGTAATTTTTTTTCTTAATGCTATACCCCTTTTCCATAGAAAAATGTTATAAAATAAAGCGTAGTATTAATGAGAAAAGAAAGATGTTATTGCAAATAAATTGTGTTCAGTAAATTCATCTTCACCATGATTTAAAAGAAATTGAGCTGTCATGGCAATACTGATTGCACATGGTCTTTTATAGATAGATTACAGATCAAAAAAAAAATATGTAAAATATATATAATTATTGATTTCTTTCTGCTTTGTGAATTTAAGCAAACCACGTCAGACGAGCTTTTTAGGAAAGCTAATACTTGTTTACCCGTTATTATCATCCTTATCTTGGTTCTCTGATTAAAAGTCATCGAACTGTGTCAGTGCTGTGTATTCAACACATATTCAGGTAATTATACTTTTTAATATGATTTTTTGCATTTATAGTGGGCGCAGTGAGCAATTCAAGGCGCTGCTTTCTTGCTGACCTCCTTCAACAATTTGTGGAGAGAAAATTCGGAATACTGTACACATTTGGCCATTTGGATTCAATATACATTTTTTTCTCACATTAAACTCGTTAGATACCTACTCTTAAACTGAAGATTGCTGCTTAACTACTTCTCTAAACTACAAAAGAGACATCCCTGTTTCAAGGAAATTGCAGTTAGTTTCGTGTACCATGTTAGCTTGATTAGCTTGATCCGTATATCAGGATTTGCTTTTTCTTGTAACGGGATGTTTCGCCCTGTTGCATGGTTCCCACTGCGATGTTTCACTCCAATTCTGTTTTGCACTGAGATGGTTTACCCCGTGATGTAGTCTTCACCAAATCTTTTTCTCGGTATATGCCCTTGGGGCATCTAATTACACTAGCCTGAACAAATATTTTCATGCCCAGAATTTTATCAAGTAATTTTATTCTTTTTTACCCTTTCAAGCCAAGGAAATAATATAAAATCCATTTTTATCAATCTATTGTCTCGCCCTTAATATTGTTTTCAACCTTTCACTCCTAGAATGAACTGTCTCTAAAATTTTCTTTTGTGCTTGAAGCTGTTTAGATGAAAAATCGAAGACTTTTATGTACATTTTATGTTATTGGTCTTATTTAATTTGATAATACGGAGGCTTATGTCTCAGAATTTACATGCCCTTCGGGCTTGTAAGTGTACAGTTTCCACATGCCCACTTCCAAATTCCAATTTTACCAGGTCCTGGGCTTCGGATTCCCTGGATTTGGTGAAGACTGCGATGTTTCACTCCAAGTACAGCATGATGATATTAAAGATACCTATACACAGATCTGAAGTTAAATATTTTCTGTATAATATCACAACATATATTGTAATAGCATTTCACATGAAATAATATTAAAAATCTTATTTCATCTAAAAGTTATGGAATCTTTAAATTTTGAAAATTTGAGAATACATGTATATTTACCAGGGACCTATATACTAACTTAGTATAAAGGTCCCTGTACAGGGTTTAAACTTAACGCTCGCCCACTCGCAAATTGCGAGTAAAAATTGGTGTGGGCTCATAAAATTTGTAAGTTGTTCGCCCACGTGGCGAATAAAAATTCTGCAGGGGGCCGAATTCATTCCCAGTCCCCTTACTGAAAAACAGACATTTTATGCAGGTTTTTGATTTAAAACTACAGAAAAATGAAATAAATCACAGCAGTATGGTCCTATTGTTCGTAAATATCCTTCATCTTTTCCATTTAAAGTACTACACGATTTGTGAAATTCCCTAAAAGTAAAACGTTCCTCTTTTTTTCCTAATCCGAATTTCCTCTAACCCTCTGTAAATGGTTGATACGTGAGAGATGTACAATTTTAATAACTCCCAACTACTCAGTCATATGAATAGTAAGTGTTTTCACCTATTTCAGATATGTTGTAGTTGAAATATTTAACCTAGAAAATCTTATTGTGTCATTGTCAATTTATCAGTTGAAGACATGTACCAGGGTTATGTATTTATATACATAGTAAAAAAAAAAGATAGTAAAAATGTTTACTGAATACAATTTTATTTCCTTTGATTAAATATTTATATGACATCTGCTTTTTATAAAGTAAGAACTCCAATTTTAAACAGATGAATTTATATTAGTACATGTATTTCTTTTTTGTATCTACTTTTTGTCCCAGTATCTATGCTTTTTTTTAAAAATCACGGAGACTGTGGGCTAACAAATTTAGCAGTGGGCTCCTAAATTTGAAATGTCAGGAGCCCACATGGCTCGTGGAAATTTCAGTTAAGTTTAAACCCTGCTGTATAAACTTAGTTCTGATCTGTGTCTATGCACCTTTAAAATAAAATTAACTTGAGATACCTAGTGGATATTACAAAAGAAGGTAGTGATAATATATTTTGCTAGGTAACAGCCTTAGCTTTCCATAACTACCATTTGATTAACATATGACAAAACTTTCTACAGTATTTTTAACCTATCATTTGACTGATTTATAATAATACTTAAATTTATACATTATTTTTAATCCATCATTTAATTAACATTTAATAAAACTTTCTACACAACTTTTTTTATCCATCATTTTAAGGAGATGGCGCGGCAGCTGAGCACCTCTTTTTCTGACCTCCTTTTGTGTTTGGTGGCGTCCTTTGTTGCATGGGAGTGGTACAAAGTGGACAAAATCAAGGCATCTGCCGGACTCTCCATTCAGGCCACAGCCGCCTTCTTTGGAATCTTCCGTTTTGCGATGACGTATCCCGAGGGAGGAATTATTTTTAAGTGTCACAAATTTCTGTCATGGTTAGCTGCAGGAGCTGGCGTACCACTGATCGCCATGGAATTCTGTGCTAGGTACGGATCAGCACTGCTAGCAAACAAAATAGCTATTTTCCTTTTAGCGGTGGTTGTTGTGGCTGCATTTCTCCCACCAAAAACCAAAGAAGTGGCGACACAGGCAGCTAGTGGATTCTCAATGCTGGTGATCTTAACGCTAAGCTTTGTAAACAAGAACTACTTTGGACTTGGAGCAGGGGTGACCTACGTTGCTGCAGGACTTATTTTTGGTTCCGATGGATCCTTGCTGGGATTTCCCAATGTTGACTGGCTGCATTATGCTTTGATTTTGGGAAATTATCTTTTCCTGAGGTCTTTTTAAAATTGTCGTACTGATCAGTAAAGTGAGAAATGGTCCAAATATTTTGAATTTTTTTGTTGTTATGTATATTTTATCTAATTCATGCTGCAAGATGGGAAAGTGCAATAAATGTGGATAGTACCTGTATATACTGGTACATTGTATTTATACCTGTTTCAGGAGTTATTTAATTACATAAAATATTTGTAAAACTGAAACACTATAATTCTTAACACAAGACCAATTTTGCTAGTGTCAGAATCTTATTTTTTTAATTGCTACATTTTTTTCATGTCATTGATTATAATCATAATGAAGTCTGTTATGGTGCATATCATGTATTGAGAAGTAAAGTAAAAATACATGTAATAAAACATTCCATATTATGATTTCTTTTCTATGAGCCTAAGGATTTTAAAAGCAGTACATCATTAAGTTTTTAGTTTCTCTTCTCTATATAGCTCTGCTTACTAGTATGCAGCAATAAAGTCTCCATTGTCAATCCTTCTATCTGTGTCTGTCCAGCTGTAAACTATCTTTTTTTAAAAATGCTACTCGTACAATTTTGGTCTGATTTCAGTAGAACTGGCACACAATTAGACTACACCAAGTACTGTAGTAGTGTAAGATACATGGCATCCTACTAGCCTGGGCTAGTGGGTTAACCCTTTAGCTCAATTGGTAGAGCACTGGACTGGCAAGCCAGCTAGGTCCCAGGTTCGATCCCCAGCAGAGGCACAAAAATGTCTCTGTTACATTTGGTGCCCATGTAGGGACCCGGGTGTTCTCTGGAGGGTGAGAGTAATTGCCCCTAGAACTTTGCCCCACAGGTGTCGGCACTCCAAAAGAGATGATGACATCTCATTCTCTGGAGGGGGCAATGTAGTAGTGTAAGATACATGGCATCCTACTTGCTTGGGCTAGTGGATTAACCCTTTAGCTCAATTGGTAGAGCACTGGACTGGCAAGCCAGAGGTCCCACGTTCGATCCCCAGCACTAAATTCTTTTTAACTATTTTTGATTTTGTTGAAGATGTTGCCTTGGTTACTTATAAAAATATAAATTTCTCCAAAAAATGTTTTTATTATATAGAGACATTGAAGGCTTTATCAAGGAAGACAAGATGTGTTTGTGAAATGCTGATGGCCGCTATGGCACCTTACATGGAAAATGTTGCTTTTTCTCAAATGCAAGTCAAACTCTAAGGTCAAGGCCAAAAAGTCAAAAATATTTAAATCCACTGAAAGATCTTGTCACAATGAATACAAATGTGATATCTGAAAGCCCTAGCAACAACAGTTCAAAAGTTATGGCCAAGGTTAAAGTGATTTTTTTTGTAAATTTGGGTCAAACTTCAAGTTCAAGAGGTCACATTTGGTGGTACTGAGAGAAAGGTCATGTCACAAGGAATATACTTGTGAAATATAAAAGCCATAGCCCCATGCAACCACTCAAAATTTATGAGCAAGGTTAATGCTTTGGCAGACAGATGGATGGACAGGGCAAAAACTATATATCCCTGAATCTTTGATTATGGTAGCATAAAAAAAATTGGTTATATGAAGTTTTAGAAAACAAGGTGAAACTCTGTCAAAAGGTCAAATATTTTATACCCACTGAAAGGTCTTGTCACAGTTAATACACATGTGAAGTACGAAGGCCTTAGCATCGCTTATTCAAAAGTTATGGCCACTATAAAATTTCAGAATTTTTTTTGTAAAAGTGGGTCAAAGGTCAATAGGTCAAATTGGTGGTACCCAGTGAAAGTTCTTGTCACAAGGAATACACCCGTGAAATACGAAAGCCATAGCTCCACCCACTCATAAGTTATGGCCAAGGTGAAAGTTTTTGCAAACAAACATACAGACAAGGCAGAAATCTTCAATTACAGAGCATATAAAAGCCAGCATCAAGTACGTTTGCTACATTTGATGCAGGAAATATTCAAATCATTTAGCATGTTAATAAATTAACATATGCTGCAAATTAATAAATTAAATTGCAAAAGGAACATACAGTGTTTTAAGTAGTTCCGGATTGCAACTAGGAAAACGCTCGCTGCATTGTTTGCGTAGGACTTAAAGTTGATTTCTAAACTGAATCAAATAGTCCTTTTCCTACCTTTTCAACCCCTAATGGCATTTTGTTAAAAATGTTACACTATATTATAAAACTCTCGTACGTTAGATATAAGGGAATTCAAGCAGTTTCGAAAATTTCAAGTAGTTCCGGTTATAGCCATTTATCGGGATTATTAAATTGAAATCGTATCAAAATTCATTATAAATGATCAATTTGTAGAGAATTACCTACAATGAGACCTTAACATGTAATTTATATATGCATTATATGAATAAAAATATAAAGGAGAAAACATGATGTTTAAGCAAATTTATTGAAAATGAAAACATGAATTAATCTCAACATGAAGTGAACTTATGTTTCTATACACTTTCTCAGCCCTTTTTAAATCAATTTAATTACTTACAAATATTTCAATGAAGAATTAAATTATATTTTTGTCCTTTTTAATTTTTTTTTAATCTTGTACATGTTGTATGGTGTACAAGTCCTTTGAGAAAACATCGTCCGTAGTAAATCCAGAACTACTTAAATTGGGATGTTGTGAAGATTGCTCATTATTTTGCAGATGCTTCGTAGTATTAGAAAACCCAAAATTCTTGAGAAAGAAGAAACACCAGTGTCTTATCCACACTTCACGAATTGAATAGGTACCCTTAAAAAGTTTCAAAAAACACCTACAACTTCAGGAACTGCATGTTATTTTTCTACTCAAAGTAAATAAAGCGCTTCTGGTAGTAAACATTAAGCTGTTAACATGAAAAGAGAGACGGACTTTATGATCTTGCTTTATCGTCTAGATTTTAGACAATAAATTCAACTTCGTTTATACAAAAATTCACAAAAAACAGAAACCATTTTGTGTGTTTAATTTTTATTTTTAAACGAAAATTATCCGGAACTGCTTAAAATCCGAAACTACTTAAAGCACTGTATAATTATATATCCCTAAAGTTATTTTTTGCAATGGAATAATTTTTTCTTCCTTTTTCATGGACTTTATTTAAATTCGCTTCAAATTCTAAAACGATACAATAAACCCTTTTCTCTGATGTTAGCACGCGAATATGGAGATAAAACAGAATTTGCAAGTATCTGTGCCTCGTAGTACAATTTGATCCGCACCCTATAGCCCGGAAATTACCGAATATGGCATCGTAATAGTATGCAATGACCTTCGTGACACGTGTAGCGATTGGTTGTCTATGACGTCAGTGATATTCGGGGTTCCTGGTCGAAACGTCAACAAAGCAAAAACGTAAACAAACGAGATGGCAGATATTCCAGGTCCATCGAGCCTTGTTTTACAAGATGAAAACTGCAACAAAGAAAATCTTGACACCAATTTTGAGCCTGAGAGGAAGAAAATGAAGACAGAATATAACCAAAAAGAAAAGGAAAATCCAAATAAATTGGAAGATCGGCTTAGTGGAATCCTTTGCTGCGCAGTTTGCCTTGACTTGCCCAGGACTTGCTTTCAGGTACTGCCTTATAGATTGCATCATGTTATTAAATAGACACAAAAAGGAAATAGTTACCAATAAACAGAAAATGCATGCCTGCATTGAACGATGCATGACAACGCATATGAGTTAGGTGCAAAATCTCTTATTTCGGAAGTGAATTGATATTGCAAAATCTGCATTTAATATGCAGATATTTTTTGTACACGATACTGTGCATAAGTTGCATATTGCGGAGCAGCTTTCATTTATTTTTATTTACAATCAGAAAAGCTATTTGTCGGGTGTAGTCTGATCTAAAATGCTGCAATATTGATGAACTGTCAAAAACAGCTGGTGACCTATTTATAACCTTCAGCTGTCAGAGGGTGTAGAATCACGTGAACAAGGTCAGCTGATCAGTCTTGCTTGGCAACTTGCCATGTTGCAGTGTCAATGCAAACAAATAAATAATTTTTGTGTAAGTTAATAAAATAAGGAAAATTAATTTGTTTCTTTTAAAGTAAATATCATATAATAAATTTTAATAAAAAATGCCTGTAAAAATAAAATAAAGTTCAACAAGTGTAGTTGTGAATAAAAAAAGAAATGTTATGTTAAATTAGCATTTTGACATATCTATAATTATTTTTAAAAGTTGTTGATCAATTCCAATGCTATGGATTCCTATACAAAGTGTAGCAGTCTACATGTAATTAGAGCAGATTCAAGGTCTAATTTGATTTAGTTTGCTATTGAAGCTCTATATGATCAGGTTGATTCTGCAAATCTCTGGGTAGTGCATAATGTTTAAATGGAATAAAATCTGCAGCAAAAGTATGCAATTTTTTAAAACGACATGCATTCTTCATATACTAGTATCTTAACCTGTAAAAATACTTGTTTTCAGTGCACCAATGGACATCTGATGTGTGCAGGATGTTACAATCACCTGCTGGCTGATGGAAGGCTGAAAGACGAGACGGCGACCTGCCCTAACTGTCGCTGCGAGATTAACAAGAATCTGTGTACGCGTAATCTGGCGGTGGAGAAGGCGGTGTCCGAGCTCCCGAGCCTGTGCCAGTACTGTGGCTGCCAGTTACCGCGCAATCAAGTGGACCACCACCAGAGGGAGCTCTGTCTAGAGCGGTGAGTCCACATGTATGCTTAGCGTAGCTTCTGGCGTATGTTCAGCATACATACACCGTAGTTAAGGTGGTTAGGGCCCCTGAGAGAAAGCACTCGAGCGGGACTCGTCTAGCAGACAGACGGCACCCGAGCGGGTGATTTTTGCTCACTCTTTTCGCTGATGTTTAATTAATTGGACAAAACACTTTTATCTTTTGTTCCTGTCCAGGCGAGCTTGGAGATCATTGGTTCACAGCATCTTTGGAGTTCAGCGTTGGAGAAATTATGTTGACCACAGTCACTCAACGTAATTATAGCGGCAAGTATCTTAACCATCTAGATCTTTCCAAGGCCAAGATCTTTAATTGCATGCTCATGATTAGGATAACAGGGTATAATTTTCTCTGTAAATAGCTTAAGAAGAAATTCTCGAGCCTTGTAGTCAGACAAGCTTTTCATAATTTGTCCAAGGTCTATTATGTAAAAAATGTTTTTGCTTCTGTAGAACCACTGATTTTAATACAGACTATAGATTTTGATTCAACAATCTATGTACTTTGTGTATTATGGCTTAAAAAAGCCTAAATGGCATTTTCTCTCCCTTTTCCAGAAAGGAAAAATAAGAAATCAAATTTTTAGGAGAAAACCAGAGGTTGTCATCAAACTTGCAGGAAATGTTCCCTCTAGTAAGGAGAGACATTTGAGTTTTCAAAGAGAAGCAATTTCTCTGTCTTGTGGACATCCACAGGTACAATTATTCTTTACATTAGAAGACATCCATCCAGGCTGGCTCTCATGTTTCAAACTGACAAAGAGTCTTTTACTCTCAAACACTTAACCTGAAAAATAATTTACTAATCAAACTTGCAAAAGGTTTATCTCAAGAACTGAAATGCAGCATTTCTGCACTTATAATGTTCAAGAATATTGGTGAGCTGTGTGGATTTTAGACCTGATAATTAAAAAAGGACAATGTTTGAAGCAAGGGACCTTTTGACATGGCCAGGTAAAGCTAAATTGGGGTTCCTTTGAAATTCTGGGGCAGGTGAAATAATATTTTCAATGCTGCTTCAAGAAACCCTTGCTTATTGGCCTTCTGGGTATGTAAGATATTAAGTAAGGTATTCCCATTTGTATGTAAGAAGTTAAGTAAGGAACTTAAGCCCATTAATGTACAGTTAATTGTGTTTCTGTCTGTATCTCTGTCCTGCCTATCTTAGCTTTGTTTTTATTAAATGATGTAGTTTTAAACCAAGGACATTTCCAGGAGCACCCAAGTAAGGTATAGTGTTATTGCGTGAACTTAAGCAAGGATTCTTTGAAAATCAAGGAAAGCTTTCCAAATTCCAAATCATCGAATGTGATACAAGTTCAATGGAGATAGAAGAAAATTTCCATAGTGATGATCTGGAGATGAAATATGAACTCACAAGACTGTGAAATAAAATCAGAAGAGGATTATTGGAATACAGTGAAACTTGACACACTATTCTCACGTTGGATTTACATTCACTGTTTAATGCAATTTATGAAATCTGTATGGTGATTTTGTTATTCCAGAGATGGATGTATATGTTATTTTTTCAGAAAAGTTAACCTCATGTTAAAACCAATGCTATTTCAGGTGTTTTTAATTATTTGTTAAGACTGGAGTAACACAAGGAGGACAGGTACGTATACTAATCGAACACCCCCTTTCTTTTACAGACAATACATATTTAGCTTTTGCTTCCACATGCTCATCTCATGGTTGCTATATTTCTAGGTCCACATGTTGTAAATACTCTAGAATTGGTTGTCCTTGGCAAGGACCCTTTCATGAGTTGGCAGGACATGAGCAGAGCTGTATCCACCCGAGCAAGCCTGCAGACGACATCATGGACGCTCTGTCACTGGTGGATAAAAGGAGAGAGGAGGAGCTAAGAGTCTACAGCAATCTCTACAATCTACTCTCCTACGAGAAAGTCACATTCAATGGTATACTGGATTTGATGAAGCATTCAGTAATCTTTTACTTTCCTATGAGAAAGTCACATTTAATGGTATACTGGGTTTGATAAAGCATTCATAATCTTTTACTTTCAAGAAATTATAGCAAGAAGACTTAAGCTTTAAAGTATGAATTGAAGTTTGAACTTAAAAAAAAAATAATGTTCAAACTGATTAATAAATATCTAATGCTGTTTTAGAGTTTTAATCTTGAGTCAAACTGTGATCTGTAGATTTGCAGCTGAAGCCCTACAGGACTGATGATTTCATCACCAAGCTGTACTACGAGACCAGTAGGTTCTCTGCCTTTAACCATCAGTGGGTCATCAAAGCCAGAATCAACAACGACAAACCGACCCAGTCTGTCTCAAGGTCAATGTCGTATCAACTGGTTCTCAAGGGCAAGGTCACTAACCCAATACAGGTTAAGTTCATCGCCCTGAAGGGGCCGTACGGTGACATGAAGGTCAACCCTGCAATTAACATGCATGAGTTCTCACCAGAAAACGTAGAGACTGAATACTTTGACCTCCCCATTGTGAATTCCTTAGAGTGTAACAAAGTATTAGCTTCCAAAACAATAAATGTTCGATTAATTATGGTTCATTTACAATAACCATCCAATCGTTGTATTAGCATTCACCATGTAATGAATGGCTAGACCTTTTTTGGAATCTCTGTAATTATTCAGTAACAATGGCATTTGATTCAGGTTTTAATTAAATAATTTTTTTAAGGGAATAAAAAAATGTCACTTGTGGTTCTCTAGTCATTCTATTTTTTTTTAGATAGAATTTTATTGTCATTGTCAAAACAATTTTTTATCTTTTTCTCCCTAATAAAAATGATATAAAATTGTTTATTAGATTTTATCCGTTTTTAATTTTGTCAAAATAGTACATCTTAGAAGAAAAGTACAAAAAGGATTACTTATAATAGTTCAGTTTTTACTCTGTTTTTTAATTGACATTATTTGTACAGCTGTAAATACTTTGCAAGAAGTAAAAAACGGGTCAATTGTGTTGTTTTTTTTTGTGGTGTAACCTCAGACATGCTTTTGTACGTGTAATATGTAAATAGTCTACCATTCTTGTTCATGTTTCCTCCATTTTACATTCTCTGTTTTCATCAAAAGAAAATTCATTTGATTATTCTAGAGTCACGGATTATGGCTTAATCTAAAAGATAATTGTCAATTTGATGCTTAAAAGTGATGGAAAAATAATGTAAAATGAAGAGTCTTGTAGCAGATTTTTTTTTATTGTCTTATTTATGATTATTGGGGAATATTGTTCCGTGGTGGAAGTTGACCATAATGTTTATCTATCTGTTTATATATCTGTACATATATCTGTATATATTATCTGTACTGACACTGTTAGAGAGAATTCCATTGTTTAAGCTTGCCTGTAGAGAATTAATGTACCGTTGTCAAGACTGTTGTTGTGTTATTCATTATTCTAACTGCTGTAACATTAAAGTCATTTAAATACGATATAAGTGGAAATTTTAGCAAAGATTTTATTTTGGAATTATTACCTAGGGTGCTGAGATGGCTAAAATTGAATATCACCAAAAATTAATTGCGTTTCTATTTTACTAAATGTTTTTAACACTCTTAAAATTTGACTCCCATTTTAAAATCACCAAAAATTAATTACGTTTTATTTGTAACAGTTTCTTAAGTGAGCATTTTAAAATTACTAAAATTACTTCTTTCTAAAAATAAAATACCAATTTTTAAATTGCTGAATTTGCATCTCGCTAAAATTTACACTTTTACGGTAATACAATTCAAAATGAAAATAAATTGTTTGTTAAAACAATAAATTTACTTACGGAAAATGTTTTAAACCACTTGACACAACAAGATGATTTTAAAAATTATAGAATTTACGGCATTATGTATCCTATTAATTTATATATGTAGAGTAGATAATTGTTAATTTTAGAGACTTTTTTTTAATGTGCACTAGGACTATTTTTATCCTGACATTCCTTACATATACTTGTAGTATTATAAGGCGATTTTTTTTTCTATCCTAGAATTGAATTTAAAAGTTTACATCAGAGCATGTCTTACTGTTGAAAGGAATTAATCCTTCAGGTTTTATTTAAAACTCATAATACTGTAATAACTGATAATTAACTTCCCAAACATACCAGAACTTAACTAGGACTTCAATTTTATGTGCATCATTAAAAGAAAATTGTCTTTTTTGTAATCTCTAATGTTAATGTATCTCCAGTTGTTTGTAGCTTACAAAAACAGTTCACAATAAAGAAATTAAGGAATTAATAGATTGTTGTTAATTTAATCAATATGTAATTTACCACAGCAATAATTATGCCAGATCACAAGTTTAATGAAAAGTATCAGTGCACATATGGAGTAGGTCTGTTTAAGAAATACAATGTATTAAAAATACAAACACACTGCCACAGAATATCACAAAAGAATTCTGAAGGTGCATCATAATGAACAATGTCATTTCAGTATCTCTTCCTTTTGGCTAAGCAAACTAGTTCTTCTCTGGAATGGCTGCGTATGTAGGCCTAATTCTAAACTTGTATACAGACTAAATATGGGGTTTAAATCAGCCACCAAGACACTATAAAAACCATGAATTCCATAGATGTATTTTTTTGAAACTCGTAAGTTGCTAATGACCAAAAAGATGTGTTTTTGAAACATTGATGCCCTCATATGGCAGGTTTCTTAGAAGATCGAAGTTTTTCAAATGCAAGTCAAAATCCAACGTCAAGGTCGTTTGTATCTCGAGAAAGGTCTTATTACAAGGAATGCCGGTATACCTGTGAAATATGAAAGCCATAGCCCCACCCATTTAAAAGTTATTGGCAAGCATACAGATAGACATACAGACGGACGGACAAGGTAAAAAACTATCATATCCCTGAATTTGATTACGGGGACATTAAAAGCAAGATATGTTATTGAAACACTGATGCCCCCGTATGGCAGCTCATGATGAATTTGAGATTCCAAAATGTAAGTCAAACCCCAAGGTGAAGTGATCCAAAAAATACCGGATTTGTCGATGAATGAAACGTGGAGATAACGAACAATATTCAAGATCAAAAATCCATAAAATATGCAAGTCATGCAACCACCAACCATTCAAACGTTATGGCTAAGGTTAAAGTATTTAAAGCACAGGCACCTGTTTTGGAAATAAATTTTGAGCCCATAGTATAATAATAACACTATTGGTTCAAAATTTATTTCCGAAACAAGTGCCTGTGATTTTAACGGTGGGTCAATCTCCAAGGGCAAAGGTTAAAGGGTCGAAAGAATTAGTTCCCAGGAGAAGGACGTGTTACAATAAATACACATAGGAAACATAAAAGGCCTAGCTTGAATGTTCAAAAGTTATGATCAATGTTATCATTTTCCAAAAAAGTCTTGCCAAAAGGTCCAAATTAATGGCCAGGAATGAAAATGAAAAGAAGGTTTTGTTGGATTAAGTTAACAGGTAAAGTTTCAGTTTGAAAGCCCTAGAACTTTTCGAAAGTTATTTCCAAGGTTAAATTTCGGATGATTTTTTTTTTTTTTTTTTTTTTTTTGCAAAAGTCAAGGTCAATAGGCCTTGTAACAAAATCACAGATATGAAATATGAAAGTTATAGCTCCATCCAATCAAAGGCTGTGGGCAAGGTTAAAGTTTTTGCGGGCAAACAGACAGACGGGAGGGGACGCTATTGAACACGGCAGTTTTCAGCGATTTTTTAAAATGCAAGTCAAGCTCCAAAATCATTAAGGTAATGTATGTTTATTATGAAAAAGAATTCTGACTCCAAAAGAAAGATCTTGCCACAAGAAAAACAGAGGGTAAAGTTCGAAAGCCCAAACACCAATCGTTCAAAAGTTATGGCCTGGATTAAAGTCTAAAAAAGTATATCAAGCTCCAATTTACAAAAAATCAAATTGTTCATGCCCATAATAAACTCTCGTCATAGGGATTCAACATGAAATATGGAAGCCCTAGCACATTTATCGTTCAAAAGTTATGACCAAGATTTAATTTCTAAATTAATGTGTTTTGTAAAAGTGGGTTAAACTAAACTCCAAGGTTAAGAGGTCAAATAAGTTGGTACTCTAAGAAAGGTCTTGTCACAAGGAATACGGTCACATTTCACATATTTTAAAAAGCCATAGCTCCAGTGTCCAGGGAATCAATAGCATGGGCAAAGTTAAATTATTTGAACAAACAGACGAGGCGGAGGGCCAAAAACAACTTGACCCCAAATCAGATTACAGAGGCATAATAAACAAAATCAACAAGCAAATTCAAAGAATTGTGCCCCCCCCCCCGCTTTCGGTGTCTTTGTGGGTGAGATGTATTTTTTATGACATATTGTGTCAAAACTAAATGCCCTATCATATGCCATTTAGACATCATTACCCTATCCCGTCAAAAGTTATAGCCAAGGTTATATTTTTTTAAATAGTGGGTCAGACTCCAAGGTCAAGGTCAGAGGGTCAAAGTTCTAGTTATCCAATGAAAGGTCTTGTCACAAGGATTAAATATGCCACAGTTAATGTTTTTAATAAGTAGGTCAATGTCAGAGGGTCAAAGTTCTGAATATCCAGAAAAAAGGTCTTGTCATAAGGATTAAATATGTGAGGTGTGAAAGCCCTAGCCCTTCAAAAGTTATGGCCAAGGTTATATTTTTTTAAAAAGTAGGCCAAACTCCAAGGTCAAGGTCAGAGGGTCAAAGTTCTTGTTATCAAATGAAAGATCTTCTCACAAGGATTAAATATTTGAAGTATGAAAGCCCAAGCCCTTACTGTTCAAAAGTTAAGGCTTAGGTTAAAGTGAAAAAGTCAAATTTGTTGATATCCAATTAAAGGTCTTGCCACAAAGAATACATATGTAAAATATGAAATATATGTCCTAGTATCTACCGTTCAAAAGTTATGGCCAAAGTAAAAAGTTTAAATTTTTTGTGTAAAAGTGGGTCAACCTCCAAGGTCAAAAGGTCAAATTTGGTGGTACCCAAAGAAAGATATTGTCACAAGGAATACACATGTAAAATGTGAAAGTCATAGCTCCACTAAATCAAAAGTTATGGGCAAGGTTGAAGTTTTTGTGACGGACGGACAAACAAAAATGAAATTTAATGTCCCCTCGCTTTCGCAGATTACAGAGGCATAATAAACAAAATCAACAGGCAAATTCAAAGAATTGTGGTCCCACGCTTTTTGCGTCTTTGTGGGTGAGATGTCATTTTATGGCATATTGTGTCAAATATGAATGCCCTATCATAATATATCATATCATGTCATTCAGAAGTTATCACAAAAGTTTAATTTTTTTAATTAGGTCAATAGTTAAGGTCAAGGGGTCAGAATCATAGCACACTCGGAAATATCTTGTGACAGGAAATGCACATGACATACATGAAAGTCAAAAATCATAGTGTATTTAGATAGGTATTGTCACAGGTACCAGTGATACACAGGTCTTTGTATGAAAGCCGTATCTTTTCTCATTCATAAGGTATGACCAAGGAAAATGTTTTTGAAAAGTAGGTCAAACTTCAAGGTCAAGGTTACAAGATCAAAAACCATACATGTAGTGTATAAATTTAGACAGACAATATACAGATAAATATGAAAGCCCTATCTCTTCTCATTCAAAAGTCCTGACCAAGTTTAAAGTTTAGAAAAGTAAGTCAAACTTCAAGGTCATCATCACGATAAAAAGTCATAGTGTATTTAGAAAGGTCTTGTCACATGTAATACACATTTTTAATACGAAAGCCCTCTTTCATCTCATTCAAAAGTTATGGCCAATTTAAAGTAATGTTTAATTTTTTTAAAGTAGGTCAAACTTTAAGGTCATGGGGTCAAAAGTCACAGTGTATTTCGAAAGTTGTTGTCCCAGGTAATATACATGACTGTGTAATATGAAAACCCTATCTCTTCTCAGTCTCAAGATATGACAAGGGTTAAAGTTTTTTGTGACAGGCGGAAAGAACGTTAACTACAGACTGACAGACAAATGAGATTTAATGTCCCTCCTCTTTCGCGAAAGCAGGGGACAAAAAAGAAGAATCCAAATTTACAATGAGTGAAAATGAGTCTTAGACACCCTTTAATTGTTATATAAATGCATCAAGAATTGGTC